GAGCCACCGTATTTACAATGTTTTTTGCATGTAGTTTTATAAAATGTTTTTTACAATGTTTTTTGCATGTTGTTTGCAATGGTTTTTACACGTCCATTGCCCAACACACTGGTATTTACGCGGTTTTGAACATGTTGCACGTAGAAAATCCTGTGCAAAAATTCTGTAGATTACGATGTTTTTTGCCAGCGGATAGTGCCAAAAAAATTGCTCAAGAATCGTCAAAAGGCGCAGACCCGGGAGGAATCGACGAGGGGGGAGGCGGGGCACCCCCTTATGTACAGATTCGATTCATTCAGGCCTCAATTTCAGGAAAGAACCCACGGTTCCCCACCAATACATTTTGAGTACTAAAGTACATGGAACTCAGGTAGCCTAGGCTACCTTTCGTGATATATACACTATATATATATATACATATAGTGTGTGTGTAGTGTATATATATATATATTTATTTATTTATTTATTCATTCATTTATTTATTTATTTATATATATGTATTTATTTATATTCCATCAAGCCATTTGTTTAATTTAGCATCCGAATGCATCAGTGATATGATGGTGACAGGCCTGTGTGGCCGTTGTGGCCACCAGGGCCCCTGCAAGGCCAAAAAACCCCAGGCCGACCAGCTCTGGACGACGGGAGACGCGAGTGATGCCAAACACCTGGCTCTAGGGGGGTACTCCTCCAAGAGTCATTACCATCTGGTTATGACTAACATAGCCATGGAAAATCACCATTTTTAATAGGTGAACCATCTATAAATGGGTCATTTTCCATGGCTATTTTAAATGACCAGAGGGTATCTGATACTTTTTTTATGGTACCCTCCCAATTCAACAGCCCCAAGGGGGTTATTAGTTTTATAAATCCAGGGTTGACATTAAATGGATGTCTATCCCAATCTACATGAGATTCTCATAGGGTTTGACTCATCCCCATTTAACATCATTTGACAGTTTGCTATGACACATGGGGCATTTATAGATTATATAATATTTACCTATTTAAATGGCGTCATTATGATTCGGAAGGTTGTCACGCTTGGAAACCCTGAAAGGAAAAAAAACTCTTTTACAAAGACGGAACCCAACTCACCCTTCTCGGTTTACAAATGATAAAGGCTTTCTGCAATGACCAGCCACAGCCTAGTTGAAAAATGGTGAAAAGTTACTGGGCGGGATTGACTCGCAGGTGTCGGCAGTTCTTTCTTTCTCAGTACCCATCCGCGGTCGGTAGATTTGAAGAGTTTGACAGTTACCTAGGGGCAAACTAACATACTGGCAGATGCGGAAAATCACCATTTCAATAATCAATTCATGGTAATTCATCCATAAACTGGCCATTCTCCACATCTATGTTAGTTTACCCTGGGGGAATGTAAACTGTCCTTTCTTAGTGAAATGGTTACCTGGTGGGGCTTCTCCCGACCTCCCCGCGGCTGGCGTAAGCATTGAAGTCAAAAGGACAGGCCATCGCCTCGGATCTTCCAGCACCGTTTTTGTTGTTTTCTTCCTCATGGACCCAAAACAATGCCAAAAAAAAACAAAACATTGGATTACGATACAAGACCTCAGCGTCAAGAATCGTGTTCAGAACATGTTTTGTTATGTTTTATTGATGATTCTGATAGAACAGAACTTTCTGATGCATATCTTTCGACCTTGATGCGCTATGCTACTCCTCGCACTTGTGGTGGTAGATCTCGTGACGGCTCGGGGCGAATCCCCAGTGCTATCTGCAAAGCTCCAACATTGATGGGTGGCATCAGCTGGCCTCGAAGCTCTGATGAAACTCTGATGGAATTCTGATTTGATTAGTGGATTAGTGCTTGAGCCAGCCCCACCCAACTATGCAATTCCATTGTAGGGTGGATCCTGCAAGTCTTACAAGTTGGAATTGGAACCCTTTGAAACAGGTTGAACGGTTGAACCATGTTTCTCACCGGAAACGACTCAGATGGCCCCTGTTGGCCCAGTTGCTGAGGGTGCCAAGCCCCAAGACTCGCCCACCAAAGCCCAAGATCCGATGTGCCACGCTGGGTGCTGAGAGCTGCAATCCAAAGCGGGAAAACCTCCAGTACCTCGGATTGTGCAAAATGTGGTGGAATCCGCTATCAGAACTGAAGTTTGGGGACGGGGAACTCTCTTATGGCAAATTTGAATCTAAGGCTTGTGAGGAAGTAGCAGGTACCGAAATGGAGTGCCAAGCTGCGCGGCAAAGATGGAAAGGGAAGCCAGGCCGGACAGAGTGCCTTAATTGACTTTCTTGGCGCAGAAATACGGAAAATACCAGAGCGGCACGAAGGACTGAAGACATTTGAAGACATAGAGGCTGTATGAATCCACCGGCCTTGCCGACGTGTTGTGTGGTTGTTCTTGTGATACACCTTGGGATAGCTTTAGCTTCACCTATACCCACTTTTACGCAAACCACGTTTTACACAAACCAGCTTTTACACAAACCAACTTTTAGACAAACCAACTTTTAGACAAACCACCTTTACGTTACACCAACCAGCTTTACACAACCCCTGCTTGGCCAAAGGCCAAAGGGCCCGCGGAATGCCGAATGCTGTTATTTTGAAAAAAAAATGTCTAGCTGCTATTGAACCAGCTGTCCTGAGGGAACATTTGCATTTGCCTTCAATTCGTCAATCAAGCCACGCATTCGATGCATTCCACGCATTCCAATTTTGTGTTGAAGGTTTCAGTAGATTTCAGAAACCGTTTCAGCCCAGGATCTATACAGCGTCTGGTAGGCTTGTGGACCTCCTTGGCCACCCCAGTATTTCTTGATCTCTGTCTTGTACTCTGACCTCGCGAAGAATGCTGCCATAAGTGAAAATGCAGTCAAATTGCGGATGGTATCGTGTTGGTCACAGCCCAAATTATAATCTATGAACCATCTAAAACCGTCTAAACCATTAGCTGTTACTAGCTGCTTGGTCACCTGGATCCTCGTAGACTCGTAGGCAACCTGTAACGGTGTAACTCCTAGGATGGACAGCGAGATTCACCAAGGCGCATCACCAAGTTCTCAACCGTGAAAATGCTCCATCCCAGCATGACCCATCGCACGCCCTTGTCTCGGGCAAAAGCTGCCACAGACATGGCTTCGAAGGGAACCAGTTGAACCAGCGATTAGTGCTTGTTTAGCCAGGTATAGGTTTGGAGAAGAACCCCCTGCTCGTGCTTGTCTAGTTCATTTGGTTTTTGCGCCTCGTGTGCACACGTTGCAAGGCCAAAGCCGCAGGTCTGTTCAAACCTTTTTCATCCGGGGGTAGAGGGCTGACTGTCCGAAAGCTGAGGGGTTTGCTTTGGGTCTGCCACGGATCCTTGTGCTACACCTGCTATATTACACCAAAATACACCCAAATATGCTCTTCAAGGTTGACATTGCAGAGCTTAACATGCTGCATCCGGAGGAAACGGGATGGTAGCACTAGCATTGCAAGAGTTCAACCTGCTGATGCGATTCAGTAAAACCAGCACACTGCTTTGGTCCTCCGCCCTCTCGCACACCACCAACCTTCAGGGCACTTTCGCAACATGGATGCCAGAAGACTTGTTTGTCAGCAGCCCGACTGAGAGACAAGGACACAAGCGTGCTAGTGAGAGCAAGCGGTACATACCTTTCTGCGATTCAGTCGAGCGGCTCTGCATTTTCGAGAGATCGGCTTGAATCCTGGCAATCAGCTGGCAGCTGGCAGCATCCGCAAGGTGGTGGAGAGACAGCACTAATTCACAAAAAAATGCAGACTAGCGGCAAATATGCTAACATTCTTTTGGAAAAGGCATATCAACATCACCTGAGGATGCCATTTCGGCAACGGCTGCAGTAGACATGCAAGACTGGAAAATATGGTGTTGTAAGTGTCTGGCCACCAGCATAGTCCCATGACCAACAATCACATGGTTTTCCTTCAGTTCAGCACGCTGCATGATGTTTTTGTGCTTTTTGCAATTCCACCTACTCCCGTATGACCCTACCTTTAGCGCATGACTCACTTTCAGACTGTCGTGACTCTTTTGCACCTTTAGTGTGGATAGTGTGGGTTGGGTATGGCAATGCTACTCTTCAAAGAAGTTTGGCAAACACATGCACGCACACATGTAGAATCATGTAGAATGCTTTTGCCTAAAATGGGCAGGTGGGAGGCAGAATCAGCACTACAATGGGCGATGTTCCAACCAACGACTAGTGCATGCCAGACGCTGCGGTCTCGACCTGTCGCGCAAATATCAGCACTGTTCGGTTTTCTGTCATGCGGCAGATCTTTTTTGTCTGACCCGTGTGCTCACTCTGCCTGAAAAGACCTGCGCAGTGATTCCAGGAAGCTGTGGGCTCGGTCATAGCAGTCTGCAGGGCTCTCCCCATCCTCAATCACGGAGTCACGTGGTTATGCATGTTATGCAATGTGCATGTACGAAGGCTGAGTGGAAGATTACCTGGGCAGAACAACTGAACAATCAATATTAATGCATGCTGAAACCCTTGGCTCTACGCCTACTGCGAACCGATCTACAGTACCCTTCCTATGTCATCTCTGCTGTGCGGCCAGCACCTGCCAAGCATCCGAAAATCGGTAGAAGAAAGGTCCGAAGTCTGATTTCTCTTTGTGCTGGTCCTGCCAGCTCCATGAGTCACACGGAGTTCCGCCACATCCAGGTCTCGTCAGGCTTTCAGAAAGAAAACGTTGCCTCATGAGGTCCTACCACTTCATCCCCCAACAACCCGAAAACAGAGGGATTGGGATGGCATCTCCTTGATATCAGGTGGGTCATAGTTCCTGACATAGTGACATGGTGCGCTTATGTGCGCTTCATGGACAATGGAAATGAAATGAACTGAAATGTTTTCAGTCTGCGAGGTGCCATGGGTCACCTAAATTGCGTGAATAATTCTAGAACGCGTGGTCAAACTAGATGCATGCCAGGAGTCCCAAACTCTTGTTCTCGCAAGCGTACCTCACTTCGCAGACCAGCTGAACTGTAGCACTGTAGGGCACCAGTAGCTCATCAACGACTCAAACAGAGCATTCATCAAGGTCAACTACCTGTCATGGAGAAAGCAAGGGAAAACACGACGAACATCATGCGCGTCAAGACACATCTTCATGACAGGGCCAACTGTCAGGAGCCCAAGCTCGCAACATGCCATTCAATGTCTCACCTGAGCTGCTGAGTTCCGCATGTGACCCATGGATATCACAGCAAGGTAGAACGGACTGAAAGAAATGAAAACCTTAACATGCCATGGGGCGGGTCCGCACATATGGTGAGCATGTGAACCTGCGCCAGAACTGGGATGTAGGCGGCAACAGTGTGATCATGAAAATGTGGGTTGAAAGTCTTAACAGAGTAAGAACTGGCCTGAGCGTACCGTCACCTGAGGGAAATTGAATTGGACTCATGCACATGCTGTCGGTTGTCAGTGGATGTGAGGTGACATCTATGCCTCTATGCAGCAGGCAGGCCCTCCTGTATCAAACTAGACTGGCACAACTCAACGAAGATAAACATAAGTGCCGCATAGTGCCGCAAAACGGCCTACTAATGCCTTTAGTCGATGACCGGCATCCGTTGCTTGTTGCCGGCCCCTGCGCAAGTGCAGTGAACAGACTCAAGCCCATGGAAAAGTTTTTCGGCAGAGAAACTGGCAAGATGGAAGGAATCCGCCGACCCCGCTTGCAGCAGGGGGGGCGCGTCAGAGGAGAAATTACCAGCAGCAAAGCAAGGGGCAAGAAGGCATTACATTATTACAGGCAGCAAGGGGCAAGAAGCAAGAAGCAAGGCGAAGGCGCTGTTTTCGACCTTTGGCAGCCGTACGTTTCGAAACTTGGCGGCGGGCAAAAGAAAAAAACGGATTCTTGTCGGTGCAGCAAGCGACGTTAGGCACTACAGGAAGTTGCCCGAGTTCCGTCCTTCACTGCCATGCTGTTTGGGTGTGGCGAGGGCGCTGTTTTCGAGCCTTGGCAGCCGTGGGTTTCGAGGCTTGCCGGCGGGCAAGAGGAAAAGGTCACTGCCATTCTGTTTGAGTGTGGCGAGGGCGCTGTTTTCGAGCCTTGGCAGCCGTGGGTTTCGAGGATTGCCGGCGGGCAAGAAGAAAAAGACAGCTAGTTTCTTGTCGGTGCAAATAGCAACGTTAGGCACTACAGGCCATTGCCCGGAGGCCCGTTCCGTCCTTCACTGCCATGCTGCTTGAATGTGGCGAAGGCGCTGTTCTTGAGCCTTGGCAGCCGGATGTTTTGACGCTTGGGTGGGCAAAAGCAAATAAAACGGCTAGTTTCTTGTTGGTGCAGAAAGCGACGTTAGGCGCTACAGGCCGTTGCCCGGAGGCCCATTCCACCCGTTGCAGTGCCATGTTGTTTGAGTGTGGCGAGGGCGCTGTTTTCGAGCCTTGGCAGCCGTGGGTTTCGAGGCTTGCCAGCGGGCAAGAGGAAAAAGACAGCTAGTTTCTTGTCGGTGCATAAAGCGACGTTAGGCACTACAGGAAGTTGCCCGGAGTTCCGTCCTTCACTGCCATTCTGCTTGAGTGTGGCGAAGGCGCTTTTTTCGAGCCTTGGCAGCCGTGGGGTTTCGAGGCTTGCCGGCGGGCAAGAGGAAAAAACAGCTAGTTTCTTGCCTGTGCAGAAAGCGATGTTAGGCACTACAGGAAGTTGCCCGAGTTCCGTCCTTCACTGCCATGGGCGCTGTTTTCGAGCCTTGGCAGCCGTGGATTTCGAGGCTTGCCGGCGGGCAAGAGGAAAAGGACAGCTAGTTCTTGTCGGTGCAGAAAGCGACGTTAGGCACTACAGGCCGTTGCCCGGAGGCCCGTTCCGTCCTTCACTGCCATTCTGTTTGAGTGTGGCGAGGGCGCTGTTTTCGAGCCTTGGCAGCCGTGGATTTCGAGGCCTGCCGGCGGGCAAGAGGAAAAGGGGCAAGTCTTTTTTTTGACCTTGGATCACTTTTTTTTAACCTTACCTCCTTTATTCGACCTTGGATCCCTTTTTTTTGACCTTGGATCACTTTTTTTGGACCTTGACCTACTCTTTCTTAACCTTGGCATGTTCCTTTTTAACCTTGGCCTACTTTCCCATACTTGTTTGGAACCTTGCGCCATCTTGCACTTTTTCTCTGTGTGTGTGTGTGATTCTGGAGCGTGTAGAGTGCGGAGGTAGGCATGTGGAATGTCGAGTTTGCATCTGGCGTGCGGAGTGTGGCGACTGGTGGGTGGAGTGTGCATGGCGTGGACTGTAATGTTTGCAGTGTATGGTTTTCACTTGTAGTGTTCAGTCTGCTGAATGTGAAATGCAACGTTGGGCGTTTCGTGCCCAATGTGAGGTGTGGAGTTTGCAGTGTGAAGTGTAGAGTTTGCAGTCTAAAGGCTGTGGAATGTAGCGTTTGCAGTGTCATGCGTGGCATGTGTATTTGGGAGCACCAGGTGTGCACTGTGTGTTTTGTAGAGAGTGCGAAGTCTATAGAATCTGGGGTGTTAAATGTGCGCGGGATGTAGGCTGTGCACTGTAGAGACTTTTCTTTTAGTATATTATTCTAGGGGGGGTGCAGCGTGGCCATTCGTGCAACTCCACCATGGGCCACGCAATGCGCCACTCTCCGGTAGCACCTTAGATGCACAAATTTCCTCTTGGACTCAAGCCGCCATTGGTATTACATTCATCCACTCTATCGAACATAGTGCTTAATCATCTTTCACCCAGTTTTTTTGATTTTAGGGTACTGTTTAAACATTTGTCACCCAGTTTTCTTTAGTTTATTTTGAGGTCATACAGCGCTGGCACTTCGGAACTGTTTTTTGTTCCTGGTTCGTGTGTTCACATCCATGCCCCTCATGCTGAAACGAACGTAACTTTGCAATGGGGATTTCTTCTCGCATACTCTGTCTGGCCATAACCCCTTCGACCACGCACAGTGCTGAAATGCTGTTCACTAAAACCCATTCAAGATATGCCACGGCACTCAGCGACATTGGACATGCAAGTGCGGCGCAACTGCTACCATGACGAAACGCTCGACAAAACCTGAGGAGTGACGCATCCCAGCATCTACATTTCACTCCATGTCCCGGCTGCTGCCAGTATTGCTTGCAACCCACACATGCTTCGCTAACAGCAGCAAACCCTGCATGGACAAAATTCCACCATTTCCACATTTGTACTAGCAGTTGTTCTGATGCATACTTTCACTCGACGCTTACGAGCCTGTCTGAAGCATTTCATTGCCACAGTTGGCACACGTGCTTGGTATACGAATATACAACAAGATCCGTGTGCGCTAGCATTTCCACTAGAGGCTTTCGCGTTGACATGGCACGTCGCACGAAACATGGCTTTGCTACAAGGGAGACATGGTTTTGCTAAAAGGGAGACGCGCCCTAATCCAAACAAAAAGCCGCCGGCGTGTGTTTTTGTTTTGGGCTGGGCCCTACTAGGGCATATGCACGAATACCATGCACCAGTTCAAACGCGGTCCAGGCTCAAGAGAGATATAGCGGTATATATTGCCTTCACTAGGCATCGTTCTTCATCATACTTGTCAGACATTCCAGGCATTTGTACTAGCAGTTGTTCTGATGCATACTTCCACTCGACGCTGACGACCTTTTCTGAAGCATTTCATTGCCACAGTTGGCACACGTGCTTGGTATACGAATATACAACAAGATCCGTGTGCGCTAGCATCTGACAAAGCGTCGTGCTTAACTCATTGCTTGTGAATATGTGCGTGTGTTTTGGTTTTGGACTGAACCCTACTAGGGCATATGCACGAATACTCCGCGCCATTTCAAACGCTGTCCAAGCTCAAGCGAGATATAGCGGTATATATTGCCTTGACTAGGCCTACACGCAGCACCGACTGGCGAATTGGCCGAAGAGAAGAAACAGTGCTTGAAGCCTGGGTAGGCACTGTAGCTGATCCTTTACTTGAAGGATGCTATTGCCCCCCTGCATAACCAGATCCCTCCCCTCCATCATCATCCTTCTTCCTCTTCCTCGTTCTTCATCATACTTGTCAGACCTTCCACGCATTTGTACTAGCAGTTGTTCTGATGCATACTCACTCATAACCAGATCCCTCCCCTCCATCATCATCCTTCTTCCTCTTCATCGTTCTTCATCATACTTGTCAGACATTCCACGCATTTGTACTAGCAGTTGTTCTGATGCATACTTTCACTCTACGCTTACGAGCCTGTCTGAAGCATTTCATTGCCGCAGTTGGTACATGTGCTTGGTATACGAATATACAGCAAGATCCCTTTGCACTAGCATCATCGACGGATAGCTTTGCCGGTTGTTTGCAATCAGCGCCAGTGAGGCCATGAGGCCATACTAAACGCGCGCTAGTTTTGCACAATCGGGACAAAAGCTTCACCAGCTGCAGTTTGAGCTGTCAGTCGCACTTCCAAACAGCAAAGCAATTTATTTTGCTGAGTGCCTTTTTGTCTTGTCTACTAGTCTGAGGAATCACGGGGGCGTCGTTTCTTGCATCCGCTCTTTTGCGCAGCACGGATTCCTTTCAAGCTAACTCCCTCCATGTCCTCGAGCGCTTTTACAAATAGTACATGCTCACATTCTGCATGCATCAGGAAAGGCAAACATGTGCAAAGCACGGAGTCTGCAGCGACATCCAAGTCTCGCGACGCACGAGGCCAGGCAGAGTTGGGTAAATCCCCCTGCATGACCACTGCAAAGTTGAGGAAAAGTTCTTCCCAGCGCTTCTCATCGACGGTGCGTCCACGAGCACCATTGGTGATGCAGCCGCACTTGCAGAGCAAATCTTCGAGCTTCTTTCCTTCTGCTACTATTAGCTCTGTAACCAGTTTTGCTTCTGCTACATCCACCTCTGGTTCCCCACCTCTCACCTTCCCTTTCTTTCGGGCTTGCATGACCCAAAAAGTCGTGATGCCTTTGGAAGCATCCGCATCTGTGCCGCTGGTGCGCTGGTAGACTTTGCAGTAGTTGCACCTTCCCGTCAACTTCTTCTCGCTGTGGTTCCAATAATCAATGGCTAGGGAGCGCCCAGCTGATCGCAAATTTTGCCCATTGAGCAACTCCTGTGCTGGCTCCGAAGGCCAAGTGCAGAATGTTTGCGACCACTCCTCCTCAAAATGTTGCTGCATGTAGGTGAAGATGTCCACCGGCGATAACCTTGCACTTTTTTGCACTTTGCTCTGCCATGCGCTGTGGAAGCTTTCGATCGTCTGCGTGCCGGATGCACTTCCGGGGTAGGTGCCAATGATCCCGCTCCAAAAGGTGGCAAACCACAGCCTGTCTCCCCGCATGGCTTCGCGACACCGATATCGCTTGGCCAGATTTTCCACAGTGACAGATTTGAAATATTGTTTCTGGAGGTACGTCACAGCTTTTTTGTTAATGTGTGATAACCAGTCGAAGGTATTGGCCCACACAGCATCCACAAGTTGAATTGTTGGCAGCTGCCGGGAAATAGTGATCACCTTGTCCAACTTTTCGAACGGACCTCTTTGCTTCACAGCTTTTGGCGCTTTCTGGCTTTGATTCCGCTTTCTAGGTCTCTTCCCAGGTTTGCTGGCTGCAGCGGCTTCGGCATCTCCATCATGAGCAGGCCTTAGACCCAACACAACGCGGTAATCAGATTCCCATTTAGCAACACACTGGCTACGCCGGCTACGCATTCACCACCAAGACATATTCCATTACAGAAAGACATCGAACCTATGCGTCACTCAGACATCCGAGTCTCTGCCCGAAAAAAGAGGTGCAAGGCCAGAAAAAAGAGGTCAGCAAGGCTAGAAAAAAGAGGTGCAAGGTTAGGAAAAAGAGGCTCAAGGTTTGAAAAAAGAGGTGCAAGGTTAGAAAAAAGAGGTGGCAAGGTCAGAAAAGAGAGGTAGCGAGGCAAGGTTAGAAAAAAGAGTTTTTCAAGGTTAAAAAAAAGAGGTAAGGTTAAAACAAAAGAGACGCAAGGTTTAAAAAAAAAGAAGGGCCCGAGGAAAAGGACAGCTAGTTTCTTGTCGGTGCAGAAAGCGACGTTAGGCACTACAGGCCGTTGCTCGGAGGCCGGTTCCGTCCTTCACTGCCATTCTGTTTGAGTGTGGCGAAGGGGCCTTGGCAGCCGTGGGTTTCGAGGCTTGCCGGCGAGCAAGAGGAAAAAGACAGCTAGTTTCTTGTCGGTGCAGAAAGCGACGTTAGGCACTACACGCCGTTGCCCGGAGAAGTACCTCTGCAGTTCCGTTGCATCGTCTTGAAGCCTGGAAGGCAGCATGTGTCAACTCACCCATACACCGTCATGGGCAAGGGATTTGTTTCAGAGCTTAGCTGCCGGAAACATGCTTGTAGGCCCGTTCGTCCTTCACTGCCATGCTGTTTGAGTGTGGCGAAGGCGCTGTTCTTGAGCCTTGACAGCCGTGGGTTTCGAGGCTTGGGCGGGCAGAAGCAACAAAAACAGCTAGTTTCTTGTCGGTGCAGAAAGCGACGTTAGGCACCACAGGCCGTTGCTCGGAGTTCCGTCCTTCACTGCCATGCTGTTTGAGTGTGGCGAAGGCGCTTTTTTCGAGCTTTGGCAGCCGGGCGTTTTGAGGCTTGGGGGCAGGCCGTTGCCCGGAGGCCTGTTCCCTGCCATGCTGTTTGTGTGGCGAAGACGCTTTTTTCGAACCTTGTCAGCCGAACGTTTTGAGGCTTGGCGGCGGGCAAAGGCAAAAAGACAGCTAGCTTCTTGTCGGTGCAGAAAGCGACGTTAGGCACTACAGGCCGTTGCCCGGAGGCCCGTTCCGTCCTTCACTGCCATAATGTTTGAGTGGCTGCAACGGTTGCAGTGGCCACCTCGCCCACAACTGCTGGATGTAGTTTCGTGTAGTGCAGCTGTAGCTATAGGTGTAGTGTGGTGGAGTTGTGGTTGGTTGTACTGTAGTGTAATTTGCGTGGCGCAGTTGCAGTTGTAGTTAGCTGCGGTGTGGTGTAATGAGTGTAATGCGCTGTCATGTCGCGTGCTGTCGTGTGCTGTACTGTTGCGTGCTGTATAAGAGTCGTGTCGCGTCGTGTAATGTCATTAGTGCAGTGTCGCGTTGTGTAATGTAATGTCGTTGTCGTTGTGGTTGTAGTTGTGGTTGTAGTTGTAGCGGGGTGTGGTGTAGTGTAGTGTCATTGAGTGTAGTGTAGTGTGGTGTAGTGTAGTGTAGTGTCGTGTACTGTAGTGTCGTGTAGCGAACCTGCTTTTCGACCCTCTGGAGCCATAGATCATTGGAAACACACAGTGCTTCGCGACTTTTCTACCCTTTCGCGCACCTGCATCTTCTTTCTTCTGACCCTTTCTCTTCTCTGATCTTCTTGCTTCTTCCCTGCTCTTCTCTGACTCTTCCCATCTCTGCTTTTCCATATGTCCCTCTTGTCGGAAGTTTGACTTATAAACTTCCCTTGATTAGGTACATTTTGGATGGTTTGTTGCCATGATAAAGCACAAAAAGGCAAGCGACGAAAAAAGATTGCACACCTGCACCAGCGTCCAATGGTGCACTCAGTTTCACACAGACATGAACCTCCATGGGTCGGCGGCAGAGCCCTTTAATAAACAGCAACAAGTCTGGACAGTAGCTGCAAAGCAGCTTACCGCTGCCTCTCAGTCAAGTGCAAATTGTGATCAGGAACTGTTGCCTCAGTTGTGGTGGTCAAAAGCCCATGGCAACATGCAGACATGTGTCAAAAGAACGTTCGAACTCACGTTGACAACGCCAGAGACCACAGCCGTAGGTGGGGACCCGGGGTGGGGGCGATCATGACAAACAAACCTGGTTGGTTAATTCACTTAATAGCATAATAGATAACCAACAAAAAAAGTGATCATAATGCGATCAAAGAAATTGATATAAATTGTAGATCTAGCAACTCTGCTCTTGGAGATGCAACGCTGATGAGATTCTACGATGTAGATCGATTTAGTGTAGCACCAAACATGTGGCTTGAACATATCTAAAGGGGAAAAACACAGCCCTGCGTGGCAAGATACAGTGATCTTTCGGTTGACCTGGGCAGAGCGGAGACACACGACGTCTGCGTAACGCCTTGGAAACAAAGCATGACCTGCATCCAAGGGACATTCGCCTCTGACCTGAAAGCCACAGAACGGAAAATGATAGAAAGATATGGAAAGATATGGAAAGATATGGAAAATACTCAAAAGATTCTCAAAGATCTCGGGCTCCAGGAAAACGGTCACACCATGCTTCGGAACTTGGCACCCGCACTCACCATGCCTGGCATCTCATGAAATCCCTTGAAATCTCATGACATGTCGAATGATTCGAATGATTCGAATGGATTCGAATGGATTCGCATCCTGCATTTGGCTTTCCACACAGCTCTTGGAGCAGCCGCCTGATGAAAATCAGCCGTCGAGGTCCAGAGTGATCAGAGTGGTCGCTGCCGAACGATGTGAAATGCCTCGCAGCGTGACATCTGCAGAACGAAGGCAGCAAGGGAGGCTAAATAAGGCTCTTGTCAAAAATCGTCGTACTGGCCCTCACGTTCTTCCTGCGATTTTTCTGGCTCCGGTTTTGACTATGGGGCTGTCTGTTGACATCTCTTTCGCCAGCCATGGTGAACATCTCATGCATCCACGCCAGCTTTCGCGAACAAACGCAAAACCTTTCATGAACCTGTTGGGGTCATGGGCCATCTGTGTGTGTGTGTGTCCCTTTCTCAGAGCTTTTGACTTGAACCGCAATCATTTGTTTGTATAACTACTGATCTCTTCATCGATACGCCTACACACTTGCATCTATATACGCTGATAAACTTGTATGTTCACCATGCATCTTCAAATAATGTATTGTATCATATTATTATAGATTTCAATTAATTAATCAATAAATAAATATAATATATAATGTAATATATATATATATAATGTTCTGCATGTCTGTGTGTCACTGCAGTACCATATTTCTCCAGTGTTTTATCGGAGCCGGGGCTTGCCTGGGACACCTCGAGAGCCAAGGCCACTCCTCGGCTTTTCTCTTACGGCTTGGCTCAGGAGTTGCCTGCGACAGAAACGGTAAGTCTCCGTCCCCGTGAATATCCAAACGGTGAGCTCGTGGTAAAGTTGCAAATGTGGCAAGAGTGGCACATGATAGCAAATGAATAGCAAATGACATGCATGACATGCATGACATACATGCTCAGTCACTCCAAAATCACAAGGATGCCGCACGGCATTTCTTTTTGTGGCACATCACTGCAGTTGATCAAGAAAGCTTGAGAACGCTCTCGAGCATCTTCATATCCGGAGCCTTCCCCTTGCACCCAGAAGCATAGGTTTGCAGCAGTTTCTGCCTCATTGCGCTGGCCACCTCCCAATCATCTCGGAACTCGACACCGGCTGAAAGGCCAAAGGCAGCCAAAACTTCCAGTTTTCGCATTTGCTCCACTGCTGCGGCCTGATTCTCCTGAAGCAAGTCACCAGAAGCATTCACCAAGGAAGCACGACATCTACTTCTGATCAAGTCGTACATCTCGGCATTCGCTTCCTTCTCCTTCAATCCGAAGGCTTCCCTTGAGGCGTCAATGCCATCAAACTTTTGGTCATCTGACAGGTCGTCATCTTCCAAGACTGCAGTGATCTCCACCTTAAAAAGTGACCGAAGTTGCGGTCTGGAGAGCTCCAAATCGGTGGCCACTTTCAGGTCCCATTCCTCAACTTCCGCCCGAAGAGCATTCAGATCTTCTGGGGCTACGGAGGGCTTGTTCAGAAGCTTCAAGACCTCACGGTGCAAGTGGAATCATGTAAGATCATGTAAGATCATGTAAGATATTGTACGTAAGATCATGTAAGATCATGTAAGATCATGTAAGATCACCATGGCGAATTAGGAGTGGCATGGTGTGGAGATGTTTTTCGGAGAGCTACAATCAAGTGCCCCGCCGAAGCTCTACCCCTCCTTGCCCTAACTTAATTACTTAGCCCTCAAGAGTCCTGCTTGAAAACAAGAGCAAAGGCAACTTGGAAGAGGTATGTGATTACATGTGATTACCGATGTTTTCTTACCTTTCTTACCTCAAGAGGGCTGCTTGCAGCAAGAGACCTTATTCTGAAGCAAGCTCTTGTTGGCAACCTTCACCAAGTCCTGCAAGACCTCCTTGTCGATTTCGAAGAACATGGGTGCCCAATCTGTCAGCATCGCGACATCATCTTTTTTCAGCTCGCCTTGCTCCATGACCTTGTTCTTGATGAACATGTTGCACCATCGCGAAACCATGCGCACTACAACCTTCTTCTGCATCTTCGGACTCAGACCAAGAATGCCACCAACAATCGGCTTGGCTTTGGTCCATTTCTCTCGGGAAGCAGTGTCCTGGCAAGTAATGGCGTTCCAGGCAAAGATGCCAAACATTTCCTCCTTGTTCTTGTCTTCAATCCACTTGCCAACTTGGACTGGATATGCTTCTGCCCAGTCTTCATCCAAAGGTTCCGGCACTTCCTTCAGGACCTTGTTCTGAGTGTAGAATTCTGCCACTTTGCTCAACTCCTCCATGAGCTTGAAACCACGAACACCTTCCAAGGGCGGGCTGTCCTTGATGCCCAATTCAGCTCCAGTGCCATCTGCTGTTGGGTCATCTCCAAGATCTTTGCCACGTTCCTTGTTCAGTTGAAGCAACGCTTCTTTGGTGTAAGTCGCTTCTTCCCAGGCATCTCTGACGGGAATCATCATCTCCTTGATCCGCTCCTCAATGACACCATAGAAGATCGTCTTTGCATCTTCTTCTTCAAGGCCCAATCGATCTCCCAACTGCACCAGGGCTTCTTGCGCCTCTGCTGCTATGACACCAGATCGTCCAAGGGCTTCTCGGACGCTGTGCTCATACACAGAGGCAAAGGCCTTCAAGTGCATTTTTCGCACGCTGTCCTTCTCCAACTCCAGGAAGTCCCTGATTTTGTCCAAGCGATCTTTTTCACTCGCCTTCAGGACCTTGCCACTAAGCTCCTCAATAAAGAACTTGTAGACTTCCAAGGCGCTATCTTCCACAGCAATGTACGGCAGCTGAAATTTGGCAATCGAATCGCTGACTTCAGGCTTGAGCTCAGCAAGTGGTTTCTCACTCTCCTCAGCCTTTTTGATGCAAGACTCATAGAGATCCTTCAACCTCGGTTGGAACAGCTCCACCCGCGCCTTCTCAGTGTCCTCCTCTGAAAGCTCCAGCAAGCGAGCGAAGTCTTCAGGTGAAGCAGCTCCTGCTGGTGCCTTGCCCTCCATGGCCCGCTCAAAGAAAATGCCATAGAGCCTGCGTCCTGGCAACGGATCCGCCGTCAAAGTAAGTGATGGATCTTTGATTCCTTCCACCTCAGTGGCCTCTGCAGGATCAGCCAGCAATTGACTCAGCACAGGCTCAGAGGTCTTGGCAAACTCCACCATCTCATCCATGCTGGACAAAGCTTTCTCAACTTTGTTGCGTGAATCCTTGCACGCAGTGTTGTAGATGACACGGAGCCTTTCGCTCAATTCCTGTCTCACACGGAAGAACTTGGAAGAGCTCGCGTCATCTTGATCAAGTCCAGCAGTCTTATCCTCACCGAAGAGCTCAATGGAGACCTCCCTCACCCTCTGAATGGCCTCTTTCTTGGTAAGCTGGAGTACTGCACAGAGTCGGCCCATCTCATAACGAGCTGCCTCCTCAGGCTTCTCTTCTGCAAAGATCCTTTCAGACAAAAAAAGGAGTTTGTTTGTGGCAATTTTCATGGGCTCGCCCTCCAGGCCAGAGTAGCCCTTGGACACAAGCAGCTGTGCAGCATGCCTGTGCGCATTGCCTGCCACAATGCCATCTAGCTCCAGGACCTCCTTCAGCCTTACCAACATAGCAAGTTCATCTGCATTGTGTTCAGGTACATCCAAAAAACTCATCAGCAGCTCTTCATAAACTCTCTGCAAGGAGGTGTTCTCCCAGGTCTCGCTGAGACGCTCGTTTGGCGGAACGCCAAAGCGTTTGCGAGCGCTTGAAATCAGGGTGCGTAAATCCTCCATCGGCATGTCCTCCTTCAGGTGAAGTGAAAGCAAGCGTGCCAAGGCACATCTGGCTGCATCTTTCTTGGCTTGTGTCAAAAATGCTCCCACCAGGGTGCCCAAAAGGCAGCCAAGGGAGCCGGCCAAGAATTGAGCCAGGCGCGTGTGCTTTGGACACAAGGCGGCCGCAAGAATTGAGAGCAGCGGCACGGCAGTGTAGGTGCTGAGAACTGACATTGGCATTGCTGAAGGAAGATTCGCAAGCACCTTTCCAGCTCGGTTGGAGTTTTGGAATAAGTCCTCGAAGAGCTCTGAAGCATCCATGGTCTTTGGCACTGTTGGTGCTGTGGTTACTGAGGTTGAACGTGTTGAACGTGTCTTTCGGCCAAAGCGCCCACCATAGCGGCTTCGCCACTTGGCAGCCACCTTGGCGCCACACAGAGCAACCACCACATTTACTTTGGACCACCCATAGGGCTCCGAGGATGTGGAGCTTTGTGACTCTCGTGGCAGTAAAGTCTGCAACTCAGCCGTGGTCGAGGTCAAAGGCTTCGTGCCGTGGTAGGCCGCATGTGAAGGCACGAGGAAGCAGGGAGCACCGGGAGCACCCTGAATCTTGGTGGCCATGACGGCCGTGACGAGTCCTCCACAGGCCGCACCCAATCGCACCCAACCAAGGCTTGAGCCCGAGAGGTCGGAAACAAATGATTCGAAATGATTCGAAGCTCAATGACTCAACAGAAGTCGGCTTCCAGTGACTCGCAACATCCTACAACGCTACAGACCAAGACATGACACGTTGAGCTCTTTTCAGACAAGTGTGGCTTTCAATTTATTGCTCAAAACCCCTTCGAGAAGCTCAGCCTGCTGCTGCTCCGCGCGATTGTCCTGGTCGCTTTGTTTTCTGTCTTCTGCACACTCGGTCATGACCGGACATGACGCAATGCCACGCAATCCCGGCAAACGGGGAGCCATTGCTACTGTTCCTGCAGACTGCAGACATGATTTCTGTCCTCCAACCACTGGCGAATCTGCAATTGCAGCTTCCTTACCTGAATCAAGTTCAGGCCGGCCTGTCGTCGGCACATGGCGTCCAGTTTGACATCACATGACATTGACGTGTTGGAAGTCTCAAGATGCACCAGGACATGCCAAGACATGCCCAGGATCCATGTTTCAACCCCAAGACATGTCAGTTTCATTCAATTTCATTCAATTTCAACATCAATCCTTGCACAGCTGGCCGGTCAGCGGTCAACCATGGTCGATCATGCGCCTGCTTCAGATCTTCATCGTTCAAAAAGGTCACATCCGCGCATTGTCGCACGCCCAGCTCCTCCAGTCGGGAGGTGAATGCATCCAGCTCCAGCGAAGCCTGGGTCGCAACTGGGTCACCGGGTCCCAGTCCCATCGCCCCAACTTGGGGATATAATGGGGAAATGATGGGGATATTATATGAAAATATCTAATGAGAATACAAAAGTGATATACATATATATATATATGTGTGTGTGTGTGTAAACATGTATATGCGTGTGTGTGTGCGTATGTATGTAGGTATGTAAGTGCGTAGGTACGTGGTATGTATGTATGTATGTATGTATGTATGTATGTATGTATGTATGTATGTATGTATGTATGTATGTATGTATGTATGTATGTATGTATGTATGTATGTATGTATGTATGTATGTATGTATGTATGTATGTATGTATGTATGTATGTATGTATGTATGTATGTATGTATGTATGTATGTATGTATGTATGTATGTATGTATGTATGTGTGTATGTATGTGTGTGTGTGTATGTATGTATGTATGTATGTACGTACGTACGTACGTACGTACGTATGTATGTATGTACGTATGTACGTATGTACGTATGTACGTACGTACGTACACGTACGTACACGTACGTACACGTACGTACACGTACGTACACGTACGTACACGTACGTACACGTACGTACGTATGCATGCAGGCATGCATGCATGCATGCATGCATGCATGTATGTATGTATGACTGTATGTATGTTATAGTAGTGGTATGTAGTGAAACAATAGTAATATTGGGTATATAATGTTAATATAACATGATATAACGGGATACTAATGATACAACTTACCATCAAACTCTTGGTAGCTCCTCGGCTTGCAATAGGAAACAATGGGAAGCAATATGGATACCCATAGATCCTTAGCTCCCTCCTAATCAGCCAGTCAAGCTTGCTGCCAAGCTGCCAGAACACCTGTGAGGGATCTGTCCATGGCTCAGCTGTTCGCTTTGGCTGGACATAAGTGCTGCGGCATGTGAAGCTGCGACCGTCTCACATAGAGCCCCCCACTCAACATGAAGTTTCTCTGCAGAAAATGTTCCCCACCTAAATGGGTCGATAATGGTCGATATATTTACCCCAGTTGCCTGCCAAATTCTGCCCTCCAGATGCTTGGAGCACTCCAGAAACAGGATGAAACAAGGGAAACACAGGTCCCTTGTGCCTCTCCGTGGCGCCTTCGCCTATCACAAAATATCCCAAACGAATCCGAATCACGTGATTCGAATGAGACACGGCCCAAGTTGTCGTGGGAAACAGTGGGAAACAGTGGGAAACAGTGGGAAACAGTAGCCTGAGAGACACGGAGTTCGAGTGTCTCAAAGACACTGGAGGCGAAATCGGTGCGCCTTTACTGGCCTGGGCTGATGCTTTGAGGCTAGGTGGGGGCTACCGCCATGCCTGATATCATCTGGTGCAACATAATCAACATATGTCGATGCCAGATTTCGCGGCCCGTTCTTGTCTTCTTTCTGTTGAGTTCCCTACGGCTGTCATCCTCACCGTGAATTCCTGCGGCAGTAGTGACTTTTTTGACTCTACAAGTCTATAAATAGACAGCATCGAAGGCCAAAGGCTGTGGAGGTTGTGAGAACCATTCCTCCAATTCCTCAGTCCTACGGTAGGAAGTATGGCTCTTAGGCGCAATTTGCGTCAAAGAACCAACAAAATCCATCAAAGATCCCACTGCTTTTGCCTCATCTTGCTCCAGCGGTGGCGGTGGCAATGGTGGCGGTGGTGGCGGGGGCAACGGCCTTGTTATGATGCGCTCACTGGACTGAGCTTCATCTTCATCGCCAGTTTATCCAGTTTGAGGTGCAATAAATTGCAACATTTAAAAAGATATCGTAAGTATCTATAAGCATTCAGAATTCATCTGGCGATGCCAACTGCATTGTGAACTTGCTATGCTGAGCCTGCTGAGCCTCTCAGGATGATCTGCTCTGAGACCACTACGCCATGGGGTCAAAAGGCATCTCCATGCCCATTGGCATCTCCATGCCAGCTGGCATCTGCATTCCCATCTCCATGCCGACATCATTCGCATCATCGCTCCTATGGCAAGTTTCCAACACACTGCACCCTGGCATTCTCAAAATCAAAACCCGTCATTCTGAATGCAAAGGTGGCTCACGCCCTCCCCGGAGGGGAAACGGGTGATGATTTTTTAAGGATTGTTTATTTTTTTAAGGATGTTTTTTTGTTTTTCAGTCTGGGGCAGTTTTCCTTGCTACTTGCAACATTTTGGGGCTAAAATCTCTGATTTGCGTGCTATTTGCTGCATTTTGGAGCCAAAATCTCTCTGATTTGCGTGCTATTTGCTGCGTTTTTGAACTATGATCTCTCATTTTGCATGCTATTTGCAGCATGTCGGAGCTGAAGTCGCAAATTTGGGTAGCTAACATCGTAAATTTGCACGATAATTGCAACATTTTTGTTTTCACCAATTTTCCCATGGTTTTCAACGATGTCTGGATAGTTTTCATCGCTTTCTTGATCGTCTTCAATAATCTTTCCGTGGTTTCAAAGATTCTTTAGGGTTTCTTCTAGGGTTCTTGAGGGCTTAGGGTTTCATTTAGTGTTTCTTTATGTCATTGAGGGTTTCTTTAGGGTGTCGTTTAGGGTTTCTTTAGGGTTTCTTTTAAGGTTTCTTTAGGGTTTCATTTAGGGCTTCTTTAGAGTTTCATTGAGGGTTTCTTTAGGGTGTCGTTTAAGGTTTCTTTAGGGTTTCTTTTAAGGTTTCTTTAGGGTTTCCTTTAGGGTTTCTTTAGGGGGTTATTTAGGTGGTTATTTAGGGTTTCTTTAGGATTACGTTTTTGGCTTCTTTAGGACGTCATTTGGGGTTCATTTAGGTCTTTAGGGTTTCATTTAGGGTTTCTTTAGGGTTTCTTTTAATTCTTTAGGGCTTCATTTAGGAATTTAGGGTTCCTTTCGGGTTTTATTTCGGTTTTCTTTTAGCGTTTCATTTAGGGTTTCTTTGGTGTTTCTTTTAGGGTTTCTTTAGGGTGTCGTTTAGGGTGTCTTTAGGTTTTTTATTGATGGTTTCGTTATTTTCTTACAACAGCATGCATACAAGCTCCTATACTCTATGTCTGTAGTTTTTGTGCAGTTTACATGATATATATATATATAATTCCATTCAATGTATTACATGAAATGTTATATGCAAACTACAATACTAAAACCCAACAAACGCGAAGAGTCAAGTGAAGTGAACGGCCAAAACCAAAGCCAAGTGAAACCAAAACCAAAAGCCAAAAAACAAAAGCCATGAGCCATAAGCCAAGTGAAGCTAAGTGAAGCCAAGTGAAGCCAAAGCCAAAAGCCAAAAGCCAAAAGCCAAGTGGGCACGCAAATGGGAGATTCTAGCTCCAAAATGCATGCAAAAACACAGATTTTAGCTCCAATATGCAGCAAATAGCAAGGAAAGCTGCCCCATGCTGCATGCTGAAAAACCCCCCCAAAAAAAAAAAAAACCTTAAAAAATACAAAAAAACAAACTCCATTCTGCTCTGCAATGTGGAACCATCGTATTCACCCTGATCTGTCCTGCTTCTGTCTACACCTGCCAACACGTTGCATGTTGGCAGCAAATCAACTGTTTCCAGCCGCAACCGGCCTTCAGCAACCGCTTTGGGCGCGGCGGTGGCATGGGCCTGCCCCAAAAGCAGAAGGCCACGAGGATGATGAGATTTCAGATATTTGGCTTTCTGAAAATTGTTGTTTCTGCGGTGACGTACAGCATTCGTTATTTTCATACGGAAAATAAGGGACAATTATGATAAAGCGATATAAAGCGTCGAATTCGGATAGCCTATTTTCAGACCCTTTTGGCTCCGTGCCAAAGCTCAACAGCCAAGGGACTGCGGACAGAGGCAGTTGCAACAGTTCATCTGAGCAGAGGACCAAGTTGTTCAGCAGCTCCCTGGCATTAAAGTTACTCAAAAACTCGATTGTAACAAGGGGGCTTTAAGATGGCATCTCTAAGCTTGCTCCAGAATCCAAGAGCTACATCTCTGGGGCATGGGCGGCGGTGGAGGTGCGGACGGCGGTCTGGGCATCCTTTCGGGAGCAAAACTCCTGTGGGCTTATGACAGATAGACAGATAGATAGCCAAATAGGTAGATCAATAGATAGCTAGATAGGTAGATTCTTAGGTAACCAGATATGATATATAAATATATAGGACAATTATATAGATGGACAGATGGACAGATTGCAATCTCTTGCTCCAAGCGGCCGTGCACCCACCATTGGCCGGGGCGGCACTGACCTGAACATGGCCAGGAAGCCAGGCATAGCCAGCCACTTTTTTTTCCGAAGCCCCGCCTGAGGGGATTCGGGCCGCCAGCGGAAGACCTGTCGCTCAAGTGATGAAAAGTTGGTGAAAGTGGGTGAAAGTTGAAGGCCAACTTGTCAGTGGATTCCAGTGGAGTGGATGCTGAAGTGTCACCCGTCTGAGAAGGCTGCGATACGCTGCCACCTTCGCCACCCCATGGCCTTGGCAAGGCGCTGCCCCTGCCCCAGTGGTTTCTTGCGAAAGGATAGCAGATCTGAGACCAGCTGCGGAGCACGCGGAGGTGGAGGCCTGGGGCCGTTGAGCCTCAGAAAGTGCGACGTGAAGTGTGAAGTGTGAATATTGATTGATCATTATCTTTTATAGAATATATAGCGCACATATATTATGTATATGTATTATTACTATGATATACCTCTATATGTATTTGTAATATCTATATCATAAATATGTGTGTGTGCATGTATATGTATATATATATGTATGTATGTATGTATATGTATATGTATGTGTATATGTATAGTGTATAATATGTAACTCTATATATATATATATCGATTATATATATATAATGTTTACATATATAATTATAATAATAATAATACCTATATTTTGTATATAATATATGTATATGTATATATATATATATATGTGTGTGTGTGTCATTTTTATGTATATATATACACCATATTTACCTATATATAAATATAATCTCTATATATATATGTGTGTACAATATCTATATATATATAATATCTATATATATATATGTGTGTTATATAATATGTTGTACTATATACATCTATATAGTGCATGTTAATGTGCAATATCACGTTTCCAGCAAGCCCAAGACTTCAAAATTGTTGGGACCAAACCACCAAGGCCCACACGTCATCATCAGCCGAGGCCGTACCGCTGGCATCTGCAACAGGCTGATCCCATGCTGTTCCAAATGATGCAAAGTGGGCCCTTGAAGGTGTGCCCAAAGTCGACACACCAATGAAATCTAATGATTTTTTCAAATCCTGATCCCAGCCCTGTAGCCTGCGCCGCATCTGAACCTCAGTGCACACGGCTTTTGCTGATAGCTTCGAGCGAGCTGGGAAAAGCATGATGGAATTTAACTTGTGGGAAAGCCCCAAATTTGATGGTTGATTGTCATGTCTCAAAATTGAAATGACAATTTTGGGTATAATGTGTGTTCTTATTCCTCATTTTCAGGCATATCCACAGTTAAACTGAAACTGACTCAGCACTGCACACGGGCCAGATGTTGGTGCCACGCCGGGTGCCTGTACAGCGAGATGGGTCGAAGTCACCGAGTACTGGAGCTCTGGGGTTTTGAGCTCGGCGAGTACCGACGGTACCGAGCCCTGGCCTGACTCTGAGATTCCCATGACGGGTCCACACCTCCAGGAATGGAAATCAATGGAAATCACAGCAAAATGCATCTTTGATCATCTTTGTATCCTATTACATCCTATTACATCCTATTACAATCTATTACCTGGTCTACCTTCTACTGTCTGTGTAGGTGAGACCTCTTGAACATTTGCAGCCAGTGCATTGTCGGCATTTTCAGACCTCGCCGAGGGTTCCTGGGGAGCTGGCCGAGCTGGCCTAAGTGCGTAGGTGTCCCGGCTACCTCTCGGCAAGGCAGGTCTGGGCAGATCAACAAAGGGCTTCTGAAGCGACAGAATAAACAAAAGAATCTGAATTAACAGATGTAATCAGGGTTAAATTTTGGTGAAAGGATGTTAAAGGTAAACACTCGCTGGTTTCAACAGCCTGAATGTTAAGGGAAAGGCTAGGGCATCGAATTACCGAAGCATGCGACAACAACAATTGCACCTGCCCGGCTTTGGGGAGGTGTGGACGCACAGGCACAACCCGTGGCCCTGCCGGGTGTTTTGCTTCCGGCCTCATGCGATTTTTTTTAGAAACAAATCACACCAATCTCCAAGGTGCAGATCTCATGCTGTTTGGCAAACTGCAGGCAAGTCGCAGGAATCCTGCGTGGACCGGAGCTGAACCTGCAGGCGGAAGCCAAACATTTCATGAGTTTGTGGTGGAGTTGGGTTGATCTTGACCCCTTGAATAACTCTGAATGTCCCTGGTGTATCTCTAGAAGTGTGCCGCTGGCACAGGTTGACGCTCGCTGAGATCGCCTTGCCTGGTTTGGCTGCGGCACTCTCTTCCTCACAACACAGCCAAATCGACCTTCAATGCATTCCACCTTCAACTGAGAAGTTTAAACATGAGACCACTGGAATGACACCAGCTGCTGAGGTCTGCACACTGGGGCCTGCCATTGCAAACATGTGCAGAGTTCACTAACATCTTTCCGTAGAACTACAACAGGAGAACCATCCTGATTGAGAACCATCCTCAGAAACATCATGAAACGTCGTCAATGTTCAGAACATCTCACTGCTCGCCTCCTGAAGGCACCAGCTGCGGCGCTTCTTTGCGCATGTCCTGGCCAAGAAAAACAAAGGTGAAGCGAAGAATGCCGTTGCTTGACTCTAGGGTGGCCTTAAACTCATGAGAACCCTGTAGCCCCTGTTGAATGGATTTCATGATAAACAATCTTATCTTTACGGTGGTGAACCCTTTTTCAATGAACATAGCAACATTAGGATCTTCAATACTTCAATACATACATATGCATACATATGTGTATCTGTGTGTGTGTGCATACATAATTGTAGGTACCTAGATATGTATAATGCATACATGCATATACACATGTTTCCAATATGTTTCATGTTTATATGCATAATTATGTATATATATATATCTCTCTCTGTGTTTTCTTTATTTAAGGAATACAACATGTATAGATATATATATATGTATATAACTATGTATATATATACATACATTATATACATATTGTGTGTTTGGGTGCGGCATATGAGAATGGAAGCATATCGAATTGTTCCAAAGATGCGTGCCCGAAACACAAATCAAACGATGATGGGCCAACGGCTCCAGAGTGACCATGCATTGTGTTTCATCAGTGAAACCAATTCGTATCAATGCGTCTATTTCCGAATGCGGAGGGGTCCCTTTGACAAACCCAGATGGATTTCCCCCTTTGACAAACCCAGGTGGACTTCCAGAAATGGAAAGTTCAAGGTGCTCACACCATAATGATTCTGCACTTGCAAGTTGACAAATAATCCTCCCTGCCGTCTCATCAGAATGCTGCCACAAAACCCCATGCTGTGGCTCGTTTGTGGTGCTTGTAGTGTGGCCGATCTTGGCTCCGCGTGGCCAGGGGCTCCACTTTCGAACGACTCCCTGGTCCCTGGATTCCCTGGTGGTGATTTCACTTTCGAGCTCCGCCTGGATCCCCATGTAGCCAACTTGTGCCTCTGCACAGAGATTCTTCAGTCGACTTTAAGTGGATCGCCAGTGGGTAGGGTGACTATCATTGACTATCATGACTATCCTAAGTCTTAGGAACGGCATAATTTCAGAGGGTCAATTAATGATTTCATGCTTCATCAATATCATCAATCGTATGATTATATAGAATGCCGGTCATTGAAACCATGTAATATATGTTTAATGATGTTTAATGTGTATGTTTGCATGGAAATGCAAATGGGCATGGGAGAAAAAAAACTCAAGCACCCTTGTATTGTGTGCGTGTTTGATCATTGCAGTGGCAACATGCCTCATATAATCATGCAGAGTGCCAATAGTTGATAGATGTTGCAGCTTGGAGGTAAAAATTGCTCGTGGATGGGGTTATTCTTCAAAGTATCCCCGTCATGAGGAAATAGAACGTCAACAGAAACTTGCTTGACTATTTGAAGAGAATGCCCAAGAGAATGACTTCTGAATTCTGAGTTTCTTAGTGTTACCATCTGGCTTAGCCAAGACATGCTGGTTCCAGTAGAGACTCCATGCTTCCTGTTCCAAGTACAGTATTGGTCTTGACCACTTAGCCTATAGATATCTATGCCATTTGGTGCACTGGCTTTTCTCGAGGTTTCTCTAAGACTCTAAGCGTTTGTGCCAAGGGCCATAAGGGCCATAAGGGCCATGAGGGCAATAAGGGCCATGAGGGCCATAAGCTCATCAATTTCTGAAGCGCTATCCCGTTCATCCCATGCTGATCCCATGACTACCCTGATCTACCCATATCACCAAGGCGTACGGCGTGCTTGAGTGACAGGACAGTGACAGGACATCATTTGACACCAATCCCAAACCAGAATCCTGGGTATTTCATGATATTTCATCATATTTCATGATATTTCATCATCATTGGTATCCTTGGTACAACCCAGAAGTTTGCAATGACACGTGCTGTAAAACAATGCGCTGGATTCTTCAGGCTTGACAGGGGACAAGGTCAATTCCATGGCGGTCCTTATCTGGGTTTCTCAGAAAATTGGGCACCCCGCCAAATCAAATCAAAGGTTTATCATCATTTTTTGTGATTAACACACATATATATATATATATATATATGTATACACATACATACATACATGCATACATATATATATATACACATACATACATACATGCATACATATATACATATATATATATATACGTGTGTGTGTGTGTCAAAACCGTCATTTTAGATTTTAGATTATGTTAGATCATTTTTAGGCTATAGCATCCACCATTTTCAGACACGCCTTACCTTGTGCTTGGTCTGAAACTGTGCACCAAGTGTCCGTGTTAACTGTTACCTGTGACCACAATTTGTCAGGGCCAGGCCTGCCAGGAATCAGCTGCCCAAGTTGGGTCCTCTCTCTATGTCGACATAGTGAGAGAGAGAGAGATGGATGGATGGATGGATAGATAATCTGTATTGCACATAGATGTGCATATATATATATATTAATATATTATATATATATTATATATATATATATATTATATATATATATATACACACAATTACACACACATATGCAAGCCATCACATGTCGGTATTTCCCCCGGCCTTGGCCCGGTAAAGAAACTGGTAGGTTCGTACATGATTGATATTGATTGATATTGATTGATCATAGTTTCTGGATTCAAGGAGATACGGCTTCCGTCGAAGCCACTCTCCTCCCACTCGTCCATCGCAGGATCCTGGCGGAGCTAAGCAGCGAGACGCGAATGGATCTGTGCCATCAAAGGCCATGCCTGCCACGTGTCATCAAAGTCAAAGTGTTCCTGCCATGGCAATCGGGGGTTGCCCAGGAGCTATGGCAGCCATGGTGGAAGCGCACCTTTCTAAAAACAACTTGCTCCGAAAACTTGCTCATACTTGCTCTGCAAATCTACAATAATCATCAATAATCTACATGTGCATACGTTGCATTTTGACTTCAACCGCATTGCTGCATTACCTACAAACTTTTCTGTCTGGAGTCTCCTGGTGCCCACGACTTGTGACTTCTGACAATGTTGCCTTCCTTGTCAGACTGGTGACTGTTCCCACCTGTTCCTGCATTGATAACTTCGCGGTGTTTTCCGCTGCTTCGCGAGCCTGCGCCTGATCAGATTCACTTGGGGACACATTGGGGACACGGTGCCAAGGGACGGTGCCATCAAACCAGTCGCGGCTGCAGTTTTCGGTCCTCTAAAGCCTCAGCAGCTCCTGGCTGACAAAGGATAGCTGCCTCCTGCGGGAACAGCATAGCATGGCTGGGCAGAGCTGGGCATGGCAGCAGCTTCTCCTCGTCAGTGAGCCAGGATGGCCGCCAAGCCTTAGGCCTCACCACAGCTGGGTATAGAAATGTATAGAAATTCAGAAGTGGTTTTGACAGTCTCGATTTCATGCTACCTTCGGTGCAAAAAACTGAAGATTGTTTCGGAAAAGCTAAGTGCCCCAACACTGCTTGCTCCACCTAGAAGGGGAAGTCTATTGGATTGCCAGCGCAGATACAAGCTTTGAATTGAATCAAGTAGGACGGTCACACTGCACTAGGATTCTACTTGTTTCCGAGCGCTCCTAGCTCACAGCTCAATCTGCCAAACTCCAACCAATATGCGGGCATGCGTTGGCTCCATATCTTCCCAAAGGCCTCTGGGTCTGGGACTGGGTGCCTCAATCCAACCCGAATGCCCAAAGTAAGCATTGAACACATCACTCCCAAACATAGTGCTACTGGATAAGACGGCACAGATCTCCCACGCAACAGTGTAAGCGCTGCTTCTGTCCAAGTCGTGAACGCACAGAAACCAGTCGCCTCCTGCCAAACAAATCATACAGTCTGTAGACCTTTTTTTGCTTTTCAGGTATGGAAAATAAACTCAGCTGTCTGGAGGGCACAATTCAGGCAAAGTTTTGAGCAAATTAATCACTCTCCCAGCAAAGATGGATGTCGTGTGCACGCCTGCGCATAGCCACCCAATTGAGCTGGCCTTACCACAGTGCCGAAGAAACATTAAACAGTCATTGTACATCCCTTGCAGCTCTGAGCTATTGCATAGTGCAGAATGCTACCCATCCGCCCGGCCAGGGCCACTGCTCATCTAGTGCCTGAGGGACCACTATAGCTAGCAGAATGAAGCAACCAAACCACTTTCCAAAGAGCATTGTCGATGCCCAGCAAGGCCAAATGAGCAGTCCTGTCCATCTCTCTGGCCCCCCAGCACAAGAACAGGGCAAATGGAGATTCTGAATCTGCACTTTTGCTAAGCCAAGTGGATTCCTTGCCCTACCCGCCATACCCACAAGGCCCGTGCTGAGGCCATCTGACTTCCCATGCTGCTACCTTCGAACCGCTGGAAGGTTGGTGCAAACCCCTTGGAACCAGTAGCAATGGACACACCAATCCTATCAAACTTGAAGGATAATTCGCCATGCCTGGGGCACTTGGAGGCGGTCTCTTCGCAAAAACCTCATGTAGTTCATGGGGACCAAGGGCAACAGATGGCAACGGACATCTACCCAATTAGGGTTACCCAGACAAAAATCGTGGACCAAACTCAAGAAAGTCGGACCCCTTCTGACTCAGAAAAGCTGGGCCAAGAACTGGTACAGGAGCTTCCCCGGCCTCAAAACACTGCGAGGTCAAATACAATCCACCAACATTCACAAACACGCGGAGCATATATTTTATCATATTTTATCCATCTGGGAGGATAGGTGATAGAAAACTGAATGTCCAGTTTTCTGCTACCTGTTTCACAACCTGCGAAGGTCCACTCACTTCCTCCCCATGGGAACATATGGGAACCAAGGGGCTGCTTGTAGCACACCAGTTGGAGGAGCCTCTGGCAACAGCTGCACCCTTAGCTCCACATAGCTCCACAGCTTTCCGATGTCTTGTGCATGCTCGATCTACCAGGCTTTCTATGGCTTTCTCACATCTGAGTCCGCTGCGGCTCGACCTGCCAGGACTCCGGGAATGGAGGCGGTCGAAGGTTTGCACACAAAATATTTGCGAACCTTCGAACCTTATGAACCTTCATTGAACCTTGTGAATCCTTATGAACCTTTCCTTTCCTCCTCTTGGGGTTCTGCGACTTTGTGTGTCTAGACCCTGCAGATATCTGGCAAACCCCCGCATCTTCACGAAGCATCCGCCTTGACTCCAGTGGTGAGGGAACGCCATGACTTTTTTCCGGGCCATTTAGCAATCCTCCAGCTGTTCACCTTTTGGAGTGCTGGGCAAGCCGGAAGAGTGGAATTTAGTCCCGTTTGCTTTTGCAAACAGGAACTGCCAACGAGTGAAACGCAACAACTTGCTGGAAGGTTGAGCATTACCCATTTTCAATCATAAATGCTGCTGTTGCGACCCACAATTCCAACTGCAGGTGGGATGCGCGATCCAAAAACAACGAACAATGCGTTTGCTCTCTCAAATGGCAGGACGGAATGTTGAAGAATGGGCAGCTACTCAGCTACAGACAACCTTTTTGGAGAAGTCCAGCACAATAAACCGAACTACTGCTGCTGGGAACGGATTTGGGTTTCTAAATTCAAGAGTATAAGTTGTTCAACAATCACAAGGGAAATGCCTTTCTCAGCCCAAATCCACGTTTTCGTTACTTAGACAATGTAACCAATGTACATTTCAAAAGAGGAATTCGAACTACATACCACCGAGTAAGTCCTTCAGCGCCGAGAACTTCTGAGTGGACCTCAGCCACAGGACACCCGGGAGATGTCTTGAATCCTGGCCAAACCTGGCCCCTTTGTACTGAATATGTACTGAATATGTATTTCAATGATTTTATCATATTATCTCAATATATATATATATTGCTCTAGGTCCAAACTCCGAACACATGTTCGTGCGCGACGCGTGGGTATCATTCTGTCACATGCATGACAGTATGCTACATACATATCACCGGAGGAAATGAGCAGGCCTCTCTTGACTCCATGATCGTGACAAACACTGTGGCATGTTTCATGCAAGTCTGAATGCAAGCCCCCAATGAATCATCCAATTTCAGTATGTCCAGCTTCTGCTAGGGTCAGTCGTGTGGCTGGAAGGCATTTTCTCTGTTGATGCGGTAGGCGAAGTCTTTCTCCTGCGCTTCCTTTTGCTCCAACCTGTGCAGAATTGCAGAAAGGCCGTCACCTAGTAACCCCAAGGCAAGTACCAAATTCCCAGGAGGACATGCCAAGGTATGCCAAGATACATTTTCCGTGCTATATCAACCTCAGCATCCACGCCGCACATCGCAAAAAATGATGGCTCCGTCCATGGAGCCGAGATCCATGGAGATCCATGAGAAGTCGCGCCTTGGAGACACCGAGGCTCTGACACCCTTGGGCGGAGGTGGCTCGGCCAGGACAGCCTTGTGACAGGTCAATGTTGCCTGAGTGTGAGCGAAAAACAGATTGCAAACGAAAGGACCCACGACCCACACGAAGCACATAAAAAATCGTTGATAAATGAGTTGTATATGTGGTATGAGGCAATTGTACATGGAACCAGCCTTCATTGCTTTCACGAACAACTTTCGGACAAGGCACTGCCACACGAAGTCCCGTGTGCCAAGATTTCGGTGACCTGCCAGGACTGCCCTCATCAGATCTCTTTTTGGCCTGCTGCTTCGGTGCCTCATGGCATCACAACGATCAGTGGCAGTGGGACTGTGCCTGTTGCAACTGTTTACCTCCCTCGTCACTGAAAGAAACCAAACGATGACGACAACATCCGACAACTATGCAAAATCAACGCGGAAGTCCCTTTCCCAAGCATCTTTCAACACAACAATTGATAATCTGATATTTTCAACCCTAGACTTGGATGATCATCGTGCGACAAAGCTGCAACATAGCGCCGAGCAAAGTTCATGAGCGCTTCAGCTTCGTTCTCCAAGACCCTGCCATGTTGGAATTGCTACGATTTTTTGTGCCCGGCCCCGCCATGCTGGGCCATTTACAGTCATCATTATTATTATCATATTATTATTGTTAACAGTAGTCGTATATTATTGTTAATCATTTATATATGGGGTGGAAACATGTCAAAAGACGGAGGTTGACATCATGACATCATACTAGTAGCCGTCAGTAGTCGTGGTCGTCAGTAGTCTCTCTCGCTTTACTTCATGCAGGAACCCAAGGACAGAATGCCACAGCCATCTGCAGCCATCTGCAGCCATCTGCAGCCATCTGCAGCCAGGTTGCTTCTCCTCTTTGATTTCCAGGCCCAGAGCCTCTCTGATATCAACTGGCATTGGTGGAGGAGCCGAACGGATGGCTTTCAAAGCCCTGTAGTACAGCTCAGTATTCTCCTTGCAGGAAACAAATGAAAAATCACACGCTGAACACAGGCTGCACCAAATTGCGGCTGCTGTGGTTCATGCCAATTTGACAGCCACGGCACCCGTGAGCCAATGAACAAGGCAAGGCAGTTGAAGCATTCCTCCATCCTTAGCAAAAGAAGCGCTGGAAGGAGCACTCTTTGGTTCGCAATGGTTCACCAAGTCCACTGTTTTGAGCACTTTCGGGTACAAAGAACAACAATGACCAAGCTGACAAGGATCTTGCGACGCAGGTCCACTACCTCAACCAACAGCGACAGTCCTTTTGTCGTAACATGTAGCTTCCGCTTCTGCAAGGGCAATTTCTGGGGCCAAGACATGCTGAGCCAAAAGGTGACATCGCTGCTCACAAGCTTCCATGCGCCTCAGGCTATGGTTGGACGGTTTTTGGAGGTCTCCTGGAAGGATTCGGATCGGAGGCCAGGCTGAGCAATCTGAGCAGATGGCTTCATTAAACTGTCTGACCAAAGGGCCAACTTGGTGTAGTCCTTTGGATTGATGTCCTGCAAACTGCCGTGCCCGGCACTGCCCGGCACTCTCGCTTACAAATCATCCCACAAACACTAGCAGTCACTAGCAGCACTAGCATGCAAACGTCTGAAGTCCTCAAGCATTGAGGTGATGCCTTGCACCAGCCTTGGCACTACAAAAATACCACCTACAATTCGCTTGGAAGGTACTTTGATGTACTCTGACAGCAAGTCATCTTGATTCATCAACAGTATCTGACCAGAAAAAAAGACTGAGATCTGTTGAGATCTGTTGAGATCGCATCTGCCAAGGTGCTCTGTGAAGCTGACGTGGCCACCTGATTCACGGCTTCGCGAGCCCCGTAACTGACGTCGTAACGTCACAACTGGCGACGGAGAAGTTGCTCAGCTCCCAGCGACCACTGAGATCGAAGAGTCGCATCAAGTTTTCTGAATTCATCACTGGCACCTGTGGCTCGTGGTCAAACTTCCAGGAAAAAACAACTGCAAAAAAATGTCACAACTCAACATGCAAGGAGCACCTCCAAATGGCGGAGGATCTGAACGAATTCCTGGAAGTCAACACGCAGTGATGAAGTGCTTTGCCATCTGGTCTCCCTTGACACTTTTGAGCCACATGTTTTTAGCTCAACAGATGCGAGTAGCCCATAGTAGCCCCACCTCATTTTCTAATGCACGGTCCAGATCATCCTGGGTCAAGTCACCATCACCATCCTGCGAGCCGTGACAGGATGCCATAACATTTTCTGAATCCATATCAAGACATATCAAGACCACATTACAACTTGAAATTGCTTCACTGTATGAGGTCTAAGATCCTTGAATTGGTCAAGGGTCTGTTATGTGCAAGTTGAGTGAAAACAATAAAGAGCTAAAGAATGGGAAAAGTGGTCGGCAGCCTCATCGACAAGGAGTAAAAGTTTCCGGGCACGAAGGCCAGAGGAGCGGCCTCAAAGGATCCAAGAGCAGTGGATTGGACGGATTGGATCGCTGATTTATCTACATCCTTTCGATCATCAAGCACTTATATGCACTGTGTATACGAAGGCGCTTTATACATTATATATATATATATATTACACGCATGTGTGCATCTATATATATATATATATGTGTTATATGTCTATATATGCCAATATAATATACTATATAGACTCTATATATATATACATATTATGTATACCGTGCCTGAATTGACCAAGTACACATCCCAAAAGTCTTCACCAAGGCACGATTCTCACGATCAATTTCCTTGAGAGCTTTCTCGAAGGCCCTAGATGACTCCAAGGAGTCCTGCACGATATTCGCGATGATGGAGGTCAGCAAGCCAAAGGTCGTTGACAGCAAGAAGAAGGCGAAGAAGACGAACTGAGAGCTGCTAGGCTGCCACATATTCCACATGAACAAGAAAGCCTTCACAACGAAAAAAAACTTCAAACATATTTAAAGGCAAAGTACTGGGATATAAGATGATATAAGTAAGTCGTACGGGTTCTATATTCCGGGCTGCATTTTTTCGGGACTTCTGTCAGCCAAGAAGCTAATGCTGGATATTGCAGGATCACAGGCCGACCAATGTGATTGGCCCATTGTGCATTCGTTATGACTTGGATCATGGACAAGAAACCTCAGCTACAGTCTAATCAATCCCAAAGTTCTCTCAACATTCCCCGATTCTGCGCCACTGGTTTGGTTCAAGGTGCGTGTCTTGGTGCATCCAAGCAGCTTCTAACAATGTTCCCGAAATACTCCCGGTTGTCAAACGACATGAATGGCTCATAATTCACCATGGGGTTCGTACCTCAGGCTACAACCGGCTGCGGACGGGCTGCGGACAGCACGTCCTGTGGAGCTGAGGAGGTTGCTTCCATTCCACACCGGCGAGTTTCCAATCACCTGCACGGGGCGGAGTTCAAAACCCGCAACGTCATCCCTTTAGGCTTGGTTGGGAGCAGGATCCCCATAAAATTGGCCCATAATATGAAAATATAGTAAAATATATTGATATAATCTGTAATAGGCCAAGGAATAGAAGCCCCCACGATCATCAATCAAGAGTTGTTTTGGTCACTGCTACAGAGGCTTCCGCCTGCCGCGTACAAGCACCAGCGGCCCAGGCGATCACAAAGAGGAACAAAGAGACCCAGGCCAAGGTCCTGAAAGGTCATGGCTCGCGGCTCCATACGGAAACCGCATGTCTATCATTGTGGCATACCTCACAATACCTATCTGTCTAGTCTATACAATCCAATCTAATCTATTCTGATCTATTCTATTTCATTCAGTCTATCTATCTATCCCTTTCCCTACTAGAAACCTGTTCTGTTGGCATTTGTTCTCAAGACTCTGACGAAGAAAACGCGGAGAAAGAAACCAAAACACGGCATCCAACCTGTTGCCGCTGGAGGCGGATGGAAAAATCTTGGTGCTTCGGGGCAAATATCAACAGACATCAACAGCTAGGTCAACGCGTTGCCCTCTCCTCGCAGCCTTGCCAGTGCCGCTCAACAGTACCACCAGCTCTTTCGACTTGTGCATGCGCTTGAAGGCTCTAATCAGGCGCAGCAACCTCGCCACAAATCATACCACGAAGCTATTCGCAACAAGACTCCTAAAATCTCCTAAAACTTCTGCCCCATGGATTCTGTGTGGACAGTGGCTTTGGCCCAACATCCAAAAAGCCAACATCCAAACAGCAACAGCGCTCACAGCCGGCCTAAGCAATCGAATGGAGGGCAGTGAGCGTGCCATAGAGGCACCGGCAGCCATTCTTTCTACAAAGGTAAGGAGGACCAGAGCAATGTCCAAACCTCAGACTGCAATCAAGCCGACAAAAACACAACACATCCACAAGGTGGGTGATGACTAAAAATGGAATGATATTCCAAGAACCGTGCCATCATCAGCCTGCAACTTCAATTCCATCATTTTCTATGTTCTAAGCTTGGCACATGTGAGTGCATCTTTGATTGCCGTCAAACCCCGAGCCAGGAACCGGAGGAAGATTTCACCTAGTCTGGTAGCAATCCGGATCAGCTGGGGAGGATCGAGATTTCAAGTGAGTCAGAATGGCGAAGCATCACAGCAGAAGCAAAGCCATGCGGATCTGGAGGAGACTTCCTACCACAGCTGTCACAGCAGCTGCCGCTCCAGTGGCCCGCAAATCTTGTTGCCAAATTGCCACATTTTTGCCGAGCTGCACATGTAAATCAACAGAAAACCATTGTTGATGATGGAGAACACCCAAGTTGAACCACTTCCTGTCAGTTCCAGCTCCAAGCCTCAGTTGCGGTAAGGTTTTTCAACGGCTGGATCCAAAGGAGTCAAGTGGAGCCAAGGAGCCGATGACCACAGAGTTAGCCAACACCACTCCAGCCATGAGCATTGCAAAAAATTGTGTCTCAACCTTAGGCGTGGCACGAGGCACGGGACAGCATGACCGTTGCAGCACTCACCACACCGCACAGTGCAGCAGACCTCAAGACTTTGTACCATCACGTCCAAGGCGCAATGGGAACAGCTTTCATGGGTTCTTGCAGCTGACGGTCCTGTCTACAGAAGACACGGTGCAACAGCAGCTCCCCCCGGACAGCAGGAGCCCATCCGCCACAACCAATGGCACCTTCTGTCTTTGTTCCTCCTCCAGCTCCTCTAGCTCTTCTTGGAGCCTGGTATCAGCAGCACTGGTTCAAACAAAGGAAATACATGGTGGCAAAGCGATGTAGACGGGAGAAACCAACTCAACTGCCCACAGTGCCGGTGACATGCGCAACATGCCAACGCGAGACAATATTGCATCCATCTCTGCGTCTCCCAATGTCCTTAGCACATTCCAGCAAATGAAGCTCATACAACAAAGCCAACACATGAGTTTTGCTAGAGGGAGAGCACGCCAGCCCACCACTGCTTTTAAGTTCAAGTAGGGATGGTAGAAAGTCAAGGTATGCAGGTATGCAGGCAAATAGTCTGTGCTAAAGATCCGGACGATACCAATCAAAGATTGCAACCGAGAAGATTCAACACAACCACCAGTAGATCTCTTTCTCCATGGAATTGATCAAGTGAGCATGCTTGGAAAGGGACAGCTACAGTAGCAACCCCGCACGGCACACCAAGCGAACACCGAAGATAGAGAAATGAAAGCATAGCAAATCCATGCCCCCACAACCCTCTTTTGAAGCAGCATTCAGCATGTCGGCAGCATCAAGGACATGAACAGATCCCCGTGCCATACACCCCAGCAACCTCGTGCTGCATTGCATCAAGTGATGGTGCAAAGCCAAGAAGCCACCCCCACCCCGCAACTTCCACTTAGTAGGATCGAGACAGGCCAGGTCCAATACGCACGTGCCTCCAACGACTATCGATTCTCTCATGCAGTCTGTGCAAACCCATCATTCAGCCAAGTCACGCAGTCCTCAGTAGCAAGCTCATCAAGTCTAAGAAACAAAAACACAACAAGCATCCGGCCAAGTATAGGCAGCACGGCGAAAGAAACCAATTTGAAGAGTTCAGACACAGAAGGGGGATGCCAGGAATGCACTGCAGTTTGCTTCGACCAGTCTGAACGAGTCTGAGGCCAAGACTTTGTCATTCGCGCATGTCGATTGTTGTGTGCCCGTGGCTCGTCATCATCGTCCTGCACCCAACTCGCAGCCGTGGCTTGGCGTGGGTTTGGGGTAGACTCACAGTAATGTGATGTGGCCAACCCAAATGCCATAAATACTTTATATATTATATTATATTTATATTATATCATATCATATCATATCATATCATATCATATTATATTGTACACACACATACATACATATGTGTAGCATAAACCTTCAATCTTCCTTATATCTATAATAAACTCCTTATCAACCTCCAATTTTGGAGGTTTCCCCTGTCCCATTTCTGGTGACCGGGGGTCCTCAACCTGTGATGCACGATCATCACGATCCTGATCTGAAAAGGAGGGCCTCAGCATGTGGATCCTCTTGCTGCGTGGGCGAAAAATAAATGATTGAATGATATTGAATGATTGGTCTGATTGGATTCATTGTAACAAAGATATACAAAGATGATATATGCAATACGTGCTGATGACACAGGACTTGTGCGCGTACGAGAGATAGGACTTGCACACCGTAACTCCTAACTCATGTGGAAACCTATGACATCAGGTTGAAAATGGTTGAAGTGCATGCTTTTGCTCTGGGCTCGAGTCTAGGACCCAGCCAGGTGGGCACAATTTTCACTGAGTTCTGGATACCACTGCTACACACAGTTGAGCAGGCCAGAACAGGAGAAACCTGTTCCGAACTGCTTGTCCGATGCATGTGCCCGCATTTTTTCCGGTGTTTTTTCGACCACATGAGATAGGATAGGACCCAACAAAATTCGTGAATGCAAAATGTGCACAAGATGCATCAACATGCAATCTTCGAACACAGAGTATGCTGTGAAAGAGTGCAGTGTTCCTCACAAAGATAGCGCCTCCTCTGAAAATTCGATGTGTGGATATCTGTATGTGTGTGTAGAGATTGCATATACGCACAGATATTGTGTATGTATATATATATATACTATGTGCGTGTGTGTTTGTTTGTGTGAATTTGAGCTGAGTGAAGACAATGAAGTTTGACGGCGGTGTTTTTTGTTTGTCTTATTTTATTTGATTTTGATGTGGTTTCCACTTCGCATCTTTTGGCTGAATAGACCCAGGGTTCAGGCCGGCGCTCGAGCGGATTGTGCCGCGCACGCAATTGCGGGCTCGGGGTGAAAAAAAAACTGCTATTGTAGTTACGGGAGCAATTCCGGCTTGGTGACCCAGCTCTGCTGTTGGCCTTGTAACGGTGCTCCTTGCCTCCCGGTTTGACTGGGTGATCGTTCTACATATTTCCATATTTCCATATTTCCTTACAGTGCAGAGTGTTCGCGGTGCAGCGTATCTTGGTGCGGCGAATTTTTGTTTTGGGTTTGCTACTGCAACAGCAACGATATTCCTACGCTAGGTTTTTGCAGGCATGCCCACTGCGATCGAATTGGCCACGGCTCAACTGCGACTGCATTGTAACCAAGACTTGGAACGGATCCCTTTGAATAAGGTGCTTGATGGACTTTGGTCCGTCTTGATGTGGGCTTCAGGGCTTTCTGCTGGGATGAATTTTGAGCACATTTCCGCCAAACAGAAAGGCATGCACATTGGCACAGCTGCAGTTTTTATGGTTGCAGATTGCTTGCTGGGTTGCCACCTGAAATAACGAGTTTTAGCTTGCTTGGAGATTTCAATTGACTTTTTGCTGTCTTGGCTTTTCTTAGATGGGAAGAATTTTGGGAGAAAACCAGAGGGTGCTCTGCGAGCCCTTGCCGGGTTGTTTGTTGCCAACGGCATGGCGATCCTGAAGGGCAGGGCTAGGACCCAGCAAAGTCACCAGGTTGGCCAACTACTTTGCCCAGATCACCGTTCTATTTTCTGGCCCAAGAGTTTCCCAGAGCAAAGTTTGGCGCAAAGACGGCAGGCAATTGACCGATTTGTCCACTTGCAGCTTCTCGCTGTTCGGGCTCCAAACATTGATTTGGAAGCTTATGGGTGCAACTTGCAGAATTGTGCGGTCTTGTATCAGTGGCTTGGGCCTTCCAGGTATGTTGGGGTTGCTTCTTTGCAGCGTGCATCCCGGCCCGGCATGCCAGGGCCTGCTTTGCGTTGGTGGGAGCATCTGCTGCATTGGTCCAGGCGCAGCCTCAAAGGATCCCAGTTGAAGAAGTACGTTCTTTTTCGCAAAGCAAGTGGGAGCAACATGGGTTTCTTGATTTCAAGAGCTGGCCCTTCGACTTTGATGTATGCTGCTGAGCAGTTAGAGATTCGCTGCCACCAGCCTGCTGCGAATGGCTCAGGCAAAAAGCGTCTGACTTGCAACAAGCGTCCACGCCATAGACCTCCCCGATCTTGCAGGGGGTATGTGGGCCATCATTTGCGTGAAGGAACTTTTGAAGGTGGGGTCGCATCTGCTCAGTTTGAGAAGGCGCTGGCTCGAGTGTCTAGGGCACAGCAGTACAATGCCCATCGGGCTGAGCCTCAGGATTTGGTGCGAGCGCTGGGGATGGATTTCCGATCTGCCTACAGACATGTGCAGCAACATCGCTTTGCGCAATCTGGCGTTTTGGGTCCCCTCAACATTTACAGTCCTGGGCACTGGCGTTTATTGCTTTTATTTGTAGGATCCTTTGGTGCAAGTGTTCATTGGGCGTGCGTTGATAAGCATTGGCGTTCGCCATGTTCAGCAATCTTTCTTTGGAAGAAAGCGAAACTCTGGCTTGTCGGCCGAAGGCTCCAGTTGGCCCAGAAAAAGTTTGATGACTTGCTGCATTCTCGAAGGCTCCCTTCTACACGCGGCTTCACCATTACGGTGCCCCAGCGTTGCTTCATCCCGGCGGTGAAGTCAGCACTGCGGTTGGGCGTTGCCTCTCAACCGAGCTGGGACAAAATGATGCGGAACTACGTGGTGGAGAGTACTCGGATTGCAGTGGGAAAGGTGCGTACTTTTGCTGACAAGCAAAATTGCGCTCAACAAGCGCAAGTTTTTGACTGGGATGAAGTCCGGCAGTGCAGTGACTCAGAGTTGGCAGATGCGGTGCGTGCCACTGGCGCCCGGCGTGTAGAAACCAACTGGAGGGTGCCTATGCCATCTACGCGAGAAGATGACTTGTCTTCGGTCAAGCAGTGTTTGCGTGGGTGGTGCGGTGCCTTTCTTTCGCCAAAAGTGGCTAAGACGTGCCGTGGACATGCAGCGCGACAGCTGGAAGCAACAAGAGCGTGGAAGATGCATCGTCAACGCGTTGTGGCACTGACAGCAGAGCACGAGCACATTTTCTCCCAATTTTCCGCAGGCAAGCAAGAGGTGATTTGCCCAGATGACAAAATGAAACAGTACAAATGGATTGTGCCGAAGAAGACTTACTTCCTCATGATGGCCTTTTTTGTGTGCCTCTCTAGTGCATGGTGTGCTGTAGACATGTCTGTGGAGGAAGCGCAAGCGTGGTGTGTTGCCCTGCTGACAGCTTTTGTTCCAGCCAGGTTACGTCGACAATTTGGAGTGGTGCCAGGCAGATGGTTTCTTCCGTACTGCTACAACAGCATGAAGCCGAAGTGTTTTTCCAACGGTCGCCGCTCCTGTGAGAAACCAGGGCATTCGTGTATGCGCAGGATAGTGTCCTACGTCAAGTGGCCAGCTCGGCGCATGTGGCGGCAGGCTGGCAGGGCTTTGACTTTCATTCTGCAAATGACTATCTGCACTGATGAAATTTGGGCATTGAATACTGCCCGTCGTGATCTCGAGCGGAAGATGGCGCGCTTGCTTCCTGCCAGACAAGCAGGGCGGTGTGACCGCTGTCATGGTGCTTGTGCAGAAATCCAGGGAATTACTGCAGATGCGGGCCAGTTCTTTGAATGCGTGTCTGCCTTTGAAGCCTGCTCTGCGTTGGACGAAGTACTGACGTTGGCCCGGAAGAACGGCCATACAACTGTCACGGTCGTTGGCAGTCGTGTGGTGTTTTTTGGCGGCTGTATCTTCAGATCTTTGCGCAGATGCCGAGTTTTCTTCATGGAGGATCTTTATTGGCTATTTGCAGCAGCATGCTCCCTTCGGTTTGCATACACTGGTACGCAGGTATGGTCCTTTTCTGGACTCCCGATAGGGGGATTGTTGTCGAAGGTGGCCGCCTCGACAGTTCTTGGCTGGCAAGAGCATTGCTGGAATTTTGACCAAAACAGACGGCAGGTTGCTCAATTCTGGTGGGATGATCGGCTGTGGTCTCACTCTGTTGCTCGTGGGCGATATGTCGATGACCTCATTTGGTTCAGCAGGTCGCTTTGCACTGGGTGCCTTGAAGAAGGGGTGCAGCATGCTTACTCAGTGCCCTTTGAGGTCACCGTTCCTGGAAATAATGGTGTGCTGACTTGGCTTGATTTTTCTATTGTTTTGCCCTCTATGCGTTGGACAGCAAAGCGCAAGCAATTTGTGCCACCTATGCCATGGGCGGCTAGCAAAACCTACGCTTTCAGTGTGCTATCTGGGAGAGTCACTCGTTGGCAGGAGATGCAGCTGTTGCCTGAAGATTTGGCAGCGGCGATGGTGCAGTTGTTTTGTGATTTCTTGAGGGCAGGATGGAAAAAACAACACCTCCGCAGTGCAGTTTTTCGGGTTGCTCACCGCAAGCAACCCCTTACGGGCAAGTTGCTGGTGGCAGGTTTCCTTGCTTGCTTCACGCCTTAAGTTTTGTGCTCAGTGTTTCATTCGCCTCCGCTGTTGCCAATAGACAGGGCCATGTCTTTTGCGATGCGGTGGTGGTGGATGCTCCTATTTGTCGGTTGTGCTTGTGCTGGCCGGCACAATGGTGGCAGAGGATACCGTGAACCCAGACAGCCAGACCAGGGCCAAGCCAGACACTCTGGTCAACCTCAAGTCGTGAGGCTTGAGGTGGCAGTGCGCGGCTCTGAGAAGGACTTTCACCATGATCGTGACAAGCGCCGACGTGGTGGCCACCGCAGTCAGCGCGATCTTGGTGCTGAGGATGTCAGACGAAGGAGCAAGGCCGCTGGGGACAAGGAGAAGAAAAGGAAGAAAAAGAAGAGATCTAGTTCTTCCTCTTCTTCTGCGTCTCCATCATCATCGTCGAGCTCCTCTGTGGCAAAAAAGAAACAGGCCAGGAAACAGGCAAAGAAAGCTGCTGAGCGTGCCCAAGCCAGTGAGGATAGGCTCATGGCAGAAATCCAGAAGCTCAAAAAAACTTTGAAGCCAAGTTCTGAGCCTGTTACTCCAGCTAAGCTACCTGCGACACGTGCCTGTGAGCAACTCACGCCAAAGGCCCAGTCTCATCTCAAGACCTTGCTGTCTTTCATGTCAGATGGAGAGGTGACGCCACTGGTGGATGTGGGAAAGGTGCATACATGGCATGATATCGAAGATCAGCTTAATGGAAAAACTTTGCCCGTCTTGAAGCAGTTTTTGTCTACCAGGATTCCAGAGCCTGAGATTCCAAGTAGGAAAGCTCCTGCTATCCAAAAAGTGCTGCAGCTGGCAAGGGATGCCTTGCCTTGCTGAAGGTGCCGGATGCAATGGCTGGCCTTGACGCTGGGAGTGGCTTTGGGTTTCCTGCTGTGCTGGTGCGTGTGTCCTTCGCACACGCCATGGGAATGCGGCAGCATGTGGCCCCCAGCGGCATGCAGTTTCTGGCGTTGGTGGAATGCTTGGTACATTTTGGCTGTCACAGAGCGGGATTTCACTGCTTTGATGGATGCTTTTACTGGCGCCCATCTCGTGTCCCAACTGAGCTTAGTGAGCGTGAGTGCGGTCTCACTAGTGGCGCTCAAGTTTGGCCAGCAGTTTTCCCATGCGGTTGAGGCTGTGTTGCAGTCTCCTAGGGTCCGTGGCAGTTTGCACCTCCAGTCATAAGCTGCATTGGTGTTATTTTTCTTGTCCCATTTTTTGTGCTGGTTACGTGATGGGAGCAGTGAAGCAGGAGCAAATTTGAATTTGCACTTGCTGAGGGTTTCCCTTGGATGTGATTCCACTTGATTTGTTTTTGAGTTTTTGGAAGAGTTGTTTCATGTCTTCTGGACGGAGTGTTGCGATGCCATACTTTTTCCATGTCTTGTCCTCCTGCCAACTAAGGTGCCAGAAGGTGGATCTTTTGAAGTGTTCTGGTTTTTCTTTTTGTTTGTTGGTTTTTCGATTGTTCTTGGGTGGGTTTTTATTTGATTGGACTTCACGGTCCTCCCTGTTTTGATTTGAGCTGAGTGAAGACAATGAAGTTTGACGGCGGTGTTTTTTGTTTGTCTTATTTTATTTGATTTTGATGTGGTTTCCACTTCGCATCTTTTGGCTGAATAGACCCAGGGTTCAGGCCGGCGCTCAAGCGGATTGTGCCGCGCACGCAATTGCGGGCTCGGGGTGAAAAAAGACTGCTATTGTGTGAATTTATATGGATGTGATACTGTAACTTTCCTGGAATGTTTGGAAGCTGCTACGGCTTTCAGGGATTGTGCAGAGTCAATGCTGCCATGTTGCGATCCCGGTCTTTCCATCAGCGCTCTTCCGCTACTCCAGCGACGTCATGCAGAATCCGACATGGGGACGAAACGGTTCAAAGAATGTCTGTGTGTGTGTGACTTAGTGTTGGGTTCATGAAGGTTTTCAATGTGTCCAGTGAGTTGTTGAGTGACTGCATACCTCGCTGCATTGACTTGCCTCTATGATCTTCCGTGTCTTCAAGCTCAGCTTTGCTTACCAGAGCCATTCATGGCATTGCGTATGTGCCAACTAGGTATTGGCTGCAGTTCGAGCCAGGCAAATGCAAACCAAGAACATCCCAGCTCATAACACTGACCGAGCCTCTGTTGGGGTATATCATGGGAAGATATGAGAAACATTGAGAAACCATCGAAAATATGGAGGAAAAAAGTGGTATGACTGGTATGACTATGAGCAGCAGACTCAACACGTCGGACCTCACCTCCACATGTGTCCACCTCCCTCTTTCATCTGCTCCCCTGTCCCCCAGCACCTCTGGCACTTCCTCGGAAGCCTGTGCCAGGGAATGCCAGGGATCCAGTTCAGGCTGTTGCTAAAGTCGATATGTGGCAATCTACAGCACGAGTAGTGTTAAAAATTAAAAATTAGATTCCTTCACATGTTGTGTGCTTTTTCTGGGTGCCAATCTGGGGGTCACGATTTGGCCCGATTTGGGTGATCATGCATTCAAACCGTGTCTGTCTCGGCACTCTTAGACACTCTCAATTCTCGAGAGGGTCGGATTGATCTCACGAGTTTCACTCACACTCAACTTTGCCTCCGCTGCTTCGGGCCTGATGGACCACCAACTACGATCTATATACACGTGGCATGCACGCGTGTACAGTACCCCGTCCAATGGATCCTGTGATGCCACCACAGTAATCTACATAGCTTCTGGAAGATCTGGAAGGCTATGAATCATGATCAAACTGTCTATTTCCTTCGTGCAGCTCGGATACGCTAGAGTTGCTGCCCGAGTGGGGACAGCCTGGGCATGCACATTCATAGAGGGAACAGGACCGAGATGGACCGAGAGCAAAGAAATGGTATTTACATGCACTCCTCTTCGACACCAGACTCGAACCCCCCGCCTGCGTCGTTGCTGGCCTTGGGGCAACACATCATTCAGAGAAATGAAAGATGCAGGGTTCTGTCCAGCCAACACGTGCCATACAAAGCTTCACCTCTACCACACTGTAGTGGTAGTGGGCCCATTGAACACTGGGAGCATGGCTGCGCCAAAGCCCCCCATTGTTGGGCAATCGATTGCGCATACCTCAGTGGACAACAACCAAAAGCATCCAAGAGCATCCAGTGCCTCTTGGAATCAGTCCCTTGGCGGAGTGGATAACCAACCAAGAGATACCAAGAGGTGGTTGATGCGTCGTTTGATGCTGTGGTGCGTCGCTGGATAGCAATGGATCATCTTCACCAAGGTACCATGCAGATGCAGTTGCAGCTGCTTGTTGAAGCAATCCCGGCGAGAACATGGCGTAAGTTTCACCCCCTGTGAGCCAAGTGTAAGTGCGGGAATCCATATCTTCACCGTTCAACCACCAACCCTGCTGTTGACCTGTCAACTCTCAAAAAGTCTTGCCACAAAGTTACGCTTTTAACTTTTAACCAAAGGGACCCTTGATCGAATCGACTGACGGCAAGCCACCTCAAGGAGGCTGGCTATGCCATGAAATGGTTGTAACATGTTGTAACCATCTGTAACCTCCCCGGATGTCATGTTTTGAAACTTTGCCGGCGCAGCACGACTCCCGTGAAACTGTAGGACCGCAGGACCAAGGCTTCACGAGGCTCGTGTTGAGCCCTGGTCAGTTCAAGCCCGTGGCCTGTTCTTGGAACTGGCCAAAAAAATGCCTGACACTTGGTGACACATTGCCTTTGTATGCCTTTGTTCCTGTGCACCTGCGCAAAGAGCAATGCCAAGTTATGTGCAAGTTTTCAACTATCAGAGCATTGATGTGAGTCATCTTATGTCATCTTCACGCAATCGAGTGGCGGCCTCCACAGGAACTATGGGTCTATATCTGGGAGCCCACGGGCGCGCTCAAGACCTCGCAAGTCTGTCATCCATTTGGACTACGACTACGGCAACAGCACGCCATAGCTGAGCCAGTGGCGGTCACTGTTTGCATTTCCGCAACGTTTTGTTCCTCTCCGATTCGTGCCGTGGTTCGATGTCATGCAACAGAAAACGATATCAACCACCAAAGCATGTCAAACAGGCTCGTGGCATGTGAAAATGCCAGAGTATAAATCCATTCCTGGTGCTAAATGTGCTAATTAATGGTCATGGCAAGGTCATGGCAACAGTTACTATAGTTGTTCATGCGGTTCATCAAGGCTGGCTCTATCCGCCTTCGGAACCTCCGGAAGCTGTTGAAGAGTGCACACAGGCAGGGCCTCCGTGACGTCCTTCGCCTCCGCCAGGGCTGAGATTGGTTGAGAGTGGTTGAGATTGGTTGAGTGCTGAGTGTTTGCACCTATCCATTATATAGGATAAATATATATATAGGATATGCATGGATATGCATGAGTGGCTGGCTTCTGGAATCAACATCCAGCAAAGCGGTGAATGCTTCTCCCAAAATCTCCAAATGGAAGCTTGGAAGGTTTTTTGATGAGCTCAGTCATTCCGGACTCGCTCAGAATCCAAATAGCTGCGCTCGGGCAAGTAGCAGACCTAGCATTCCTTCTCAAGAAATTGGCACATTAAGTTAAAGTCATTCGGCCATTAGGCCGTCCTTTGATTCTTTGGCGTCCAGAAGATCTCTCCTTGAATTGCCTCAGTAGCGTCATCCGTCCGGCAGCTTTGTAAATTAAATAGCTCTACATTATACTCTCAAAGGCGCTGCGGTCAGTCGTTAAGTCACGGACGTTGTGATTTTCTGGTCGTCTTTGGGGTGGCGCAGCAACTGAAAAGTGACTTCTTTGGTTGCATACCTGGCGCAAAGCCAATCCCACTGCACTGGTTTCTAGCTCAAACCACACAACCCTCTGCACAGCTAGCCTTCTCCTTCGTCCCCCTCTTGTTGCGGATTTCTCGTCCCATTTTTGGCTGCCTTTGAAATTTCACTTCACTTGCAAAGATTATAGCAGATTATAGCTCACTGCAGCCAGATGCTGCAAACAATGATGACACTCGGACGACTTGGGCCGGGGTTCCCATCTGGTTTCACGGTCAGTCATGCTGAGAAGGACACAGCAGGCCATCCTAGGGCTTTCGCCTGGCTGTGAAGGAATTCGAGGAAATCACCAAGTCGAAGTGGTGTGATATTATTTGATATCATTTGATATCTGGCTGCTCCAAATTTTGACTTGCAGGTGTCTGGGATTCTGAGCACACGGACGTACAGGCATGCAATAGTATTCAAATTATTCAGTGGCCGTTCTCAGATCTCCCGTGAGATCCAGCCTGCTTTATCCACTGGCTGTCAGCTCGGTACCTGTGAGATCGCGAAGACTTCGCTAAGGCGAAGGCGATCGAAGAAGTCGCAGCCATGTTCACTTGAGGTCCAGGCTGTTGCCAAAGCACCACAAGATGCAACATGCCACCCAACACCAACAGCCCTGCAGCAACCTTTGCAATTGCAGGACGGCATCCATAGCATTTCATGTCAAAATTTCGCGTGACTTCACTATTTCAACTCAACACTGGAAATGTCACGGAATTGGCATTTGAAAGAAAGGTGCACAACAATGGTTTTCCACAGTGCATCGTCTTGCTTTCGACTTGGCTCCCTAATTGATCAAGTTCAAATCATCCTAGTGTGATGATGTGTGATGTATGTGATGTATACCAACCCAAGGTCTTGCCCTACCGTAGCCTACCACTATTGTGTCCTTCTGATGTCTCCTTTTGAGAGCCGCGCATGAAAGGACAATCGGATGCCCAAGACAACCGCGGACCTAGGGGGTAGGAACCATAGCCAATAGCATCAGCCCTGGTGGCAGCTAAGACTTTGAATATCTGAGTGTTGTGCGAATCCGAGGGAGTCTCAAGGTAGACGGCTGTGATCACCTTTCAACCGGGGGGGGGGACCAAACAGCTGCCCCACCCGTGGGTGCCACTACCTCTGCAATTGGTGCGCTTTGAGGCCGCAGCCAGGAGAACAATCAAAGGCAGCCGCACGCAAATCAGCAAAACCACAGCGAATCTCGGCCAGCAAAACCGCCACAAAAGCAGCTCTGAATGAGCCGAAAGATCAGAAAGGGAAAATCATCGTCACACGTGTCACACAAGTTCCATGTGGATATTACATGACAATATTACTGTTTTTACCCATAGATGCCCATAGTACATCATAGCACCACATACAGCATTACAGCACCACATACATCTCATGGCCTCCAGAGTGGGCTGGCATTCTCCAACATCCACCAAGCTGGCCTGGTGCATCAATGTACCACAGCCACTGAAACTGCTGGGGCAGCGGTCTTAGATGTTGCTTTGCTAATTGCTGTACCTATGTTATCAATAAATATCTATCTGTCTATGTATATATCTTTCTTCCTTCCTTCCTTCCTTCCTTCCTTCTTTCTTTCTTCCTTCCTTCCTTCCTATCTAAGGGGTGTATATATATGTGTGTGTGTATGTGCGTGTGTGATGTATATATATATGTGTGTGTGTGTATGTATATGTATACATATATATATATTATGCGATATGCGTTCAAATCAAATGTGTTCGATCCTTTTGGATGTTGCACGTGGTTGGCAACGGTTTCGACTTATCTGGCCTGTGGACTGACAAATTCCTATCGTGAAACTTGTGTTGATCTCGCCTGTTCGTGGCCATGCATGCCTCCCGGTAGAGTAGAGGAACCATCGGAGCCTGACTCCCCCGGATGACATGCCCCACAAGTCAAGCCCTTTATGTCCCTTGAGTCCTTGCGCTCCCACGAGCCTCGCCTCCCACAGCAAGGCTGCCATGCCCAAGCCTGGTGACACACGGTGAGTCTCAACTGTGCCCTCGGCGGGGACGATTTGGCCAAGGCACCAGGGAGCCACATTTTTGCACCCACCACCAGGATGAAGAGAAATAAGAAATCTCGCAACAAGTACCTTGGATCGGCTGGAGCGGATTCTTCATGTTTTTTTTAAGTAGCACTGGTGCAACTTCAGGAAGTTGGACAGCAAATCTGGAGTTCAAAGACCGTGCAGGTCCTGATTGGGCCGAAGTTTCACGCTCTCCAACGTCTACAGCAGAACAAATAACTGATACGGGCGCACGCCATGAGCGTCACCTAGGGCCACGAAGAGAGTAGCAGCCCCCAATCCCACGGGTCATCACAGTTGTCCAAGCTTCATCCCCACAAGATTTCCAATGATTTCCATATCTTACATACCTTCGGTGACATGCCAGGCATCCCACGAAGAGTTTCCAACAATGCCTTGGCAGCGGGTGCATGCCTTGGTAGTTCGGGTGGTCGAGTTCCAGCAGTCTCTGCTAACCACAGCCAGAACTGGGCACTGCAAGTGCATGGGCCCCACGCCAACTAGGAAGATCCCACATGAGGCCACCTCCTGCGCTCAAAGAACTACCAGTCACGGCTGTGTCTGGGCAAAATCAATACGGTTATATAATACATGTATATACATGTTAATACCATCTTGAAAGGGGAATGAACATCCTGAACATCCATTTTGGGGGTGTCCATAAATTGAAATCCTACAAACTGGTTGGTTTACGATGGCAAATCCTATTAAAATTGATGATTTAGGGGTACCCCAATTTTAGGAAAACCCCAATGTTCCTGACCCATAACCAGATCATCATACCTGGCCTCCCACAGCATGTTGGTGTAGTTCCCAGCAGCTGCCGCCTGAGCTGGAACCAAGCCGCAGCCACTTGCAGCCACCGCACATAGGTACAGCACTTTGGCACACAAAACCACCACTGAGGTCTTTGCAAATATGGCTTGATATGTCAAGCTGCCATAGAAAAGCCACTCCCGAAAGACCTGATTCACTAAAGTGGAAACTTGTCTTGATTTGTTCTTGGAAGTCTGCATGGGGAAGAGTGGAACGTGTGCCAAAGTCACGACTTTGTGTCACGGCAGTAAATCAAGCGCACAGAGCCGATCTCTAAATCGCAGTCTCAGGAAGAATCGCCAGGCTGAAATTCTTAGACCTCTGTTGTTACATGAAATGATTATGTGTGCATCTACATGGTTGCTTCCATCTGCATAGGGTACCTGCCTCCCCCTTCCACGTAGCGAAAACAATCATCTCCACCATCAACGGAATGAAAAGCAATAAGGCTACCTAGAGTGAAGCCAAGTGCGGGAAAAATCACCCCACGGGGGCCAGAGTGATTACTCCATAAAAATGCTAAGACTTCTCAAAAATGACTGTCACTTCTAAGTTTGGGGCATATGCAAAAATTCGCACACGCCTTAGCGGTTTACAGTCCAACTCGCAGGCTCCATTTTTTCGAGTCCCATGTGTCACCAATGCCACTCTCGGCCGTCTTGGCCCCCAACTCCAAATGCCTCCTGCAAAGGCTGCAAAGGTCGAATGAATCACATCGATTTTTCTAACCTGCACCATGCCATCAAAAGAAATATCAAAAGTAATGCAATGTGTCCAGCAATGTGATTCAAGTCCCAGTTTGTCACAGTAGAACTTGTAATTACATAAAGCACGGAAGCATGGCGCAGACGCTATGGTTGTGCCATCAAACCGTTCTCTGCTCCCGTCCTGTGCACTAACAATCGTCCGTTCCAGCCCCTGATAGCCGCATGCATTGCTGGCCTCCGAGCAGCTCGAAATTCAGCAAACAGTCCCAGACAGGAAAAAAGTACGGCATGGCATAGTATCCACAGTCCTGTGAGACAGGCCTTCCCGTTTTACATGAGATGATGCATCCAAAAAAAACTATGGGGAAAATGAGCAGGGAGAATGGAGGAGACGAATGGAGAAGCAGAAGGAACCACTATTGCAGAGGATCACAGTTCCAGTGAAGGAGACATGGAGAGAAAGCATAGCGAGATTCTTTTTAAAACAAAACAAGTGGAGGACAAATGTGGGACAAATCGGGGCAGGCCTCACAGGACGGACATTACAAGACAGCAGCCAAACAATGTGAGGACAAGATCTGGGAACAAACGACAAGTAAAAAGGCGATAAACACAAACTGTTTCAAGCACTACGTGTTCGAACTTGCACTGTTTGATTCATAATGTGCCTGCAAAGTTCTGCGTCAATCATTAGGCATGTCTCCCGATAAGTCCTGCAAGTTGACACGTTGAATCTAATTCGCTCTTTGGAACTCAATGCACACATGGTGGTCTGAAAACCATAAGGCCACTCATTTGAATGACAATGATTGTCCATTGGGTTCATTAATGATTGTCATATGATTGTCCACTGGGTTGGCACCCTTTTCCCATCTTTTCCCCATCCTCTCTGATCTGGTGGAACGACGCAAGGTGTGGGATTCTTCCAACATGTCTTCGGCTTCATCCAGGGGTTCCTGGCCAGACTTTTGCTAACTGAGCGAACCCTGCATGCCCGGGGTGCAGAATCATCTTATCGTTGGGTACTTTGCATTCGATCTGATAGGATGTTTCCCTTCTGACAAGTGTTTGTGACATGGATATTTGTGATATTTGCTTGTGTTCACAGCCATTCTGTTCTAATTCAAGTTTGCAGCTCCGCATCTGCAAATGCGGGAAAAACATGGTCCCATGGTCTCAACAAATCATTGGAACATGGGTTTGAAAAAAATGTGCCATCTTAGTTTCCACCTGACACAGCCTGACACACTTAAAACCAAATTCAAAACAATGTTTTTTGTCTGGAAATGATGGATTGACCCACCTTTGACCCACCGCAACCATAGCAATTTCGAGAAACGGAACGTGATGTGGCGTCCACCCGGCCTCTACTTCCAAGGCATGATGCACCAGAAAAAAGGTGACCGTAGAGCATGCCAGGAGGAGGATCAAGACCCAATCTGCCACAGTCACTGGAGCCACGCAAATTGGATTGGATTGGTGTGAGACCACTGGTACCCTCTGGTAAAGTAACTTGGCTATGGAAAATCACCATGTTATATAACCATGGATAACCAACTACAAATCACCCATTTTCCAATGCCATGTTTACCAGAGAGTAGCCACTGTGTCTTGACGCGAACGCCGGCCTTCAAAAAGCTGGCCGTGATCTGGCGACCAAAACATCATGGTGCCAACACACCAACTTGTAGCGCATGTCCGTACCCGCTACATTCAAATGCAAACAGTTGTTGAGCCAAATTCTGTGCAAAGGATTTGATCATAGAAGTGGGTTTGGAAAAAAGTGATGTAAATGCAAAAATGTTGAGCGCCGGCATGGCGGCCGCATGCAAATCATTCAAATCAATGGCCAATCACAATACATCAAGCTATGACACAATAAATCGACTCCATTGAACAAACATGGCCGGGAAAAACCGCGCACAATCCTGGTTCGGTAACTTGAAAGAAAAATTTCACCAAACATGAGGTGAAATGACGACCGTGCCCTGGTTTACCACCACACAAACATCTCAATGCGTCCGAGCAGCAAAAAAAAAACATCTCAGTGGCGTTTCCATACATAGAATCGTTTTTTGTTTTTGATACTGATTTTTTGTCCACTCGGCAAAATGTCAAAAAAAATAAACAACGTCAAGTATTTCATTTGGCACTGTTTGTTATTTTGCCATAAATTTAATCATGCTCATTTTCGTGGCAGCGCAACGAAATATAAGATGACGCCACGTATGTTCAAAGACCTTTTGATGCCGTGTTGGAATTTGCACGGTGTTTTTCACAAATTAAATTATAGAATTTAAACCGGATTTTGTTCTATTACTTACAATGGAGACTTTTATCCAACATCATGTTTTTGTCCTAAATGCGGAAGTGTAAATATGATATAATATGATCTCATATTTTCAAGAAAAAATGGTAAAGGGCAGCATCAAATGAATATGCCATGTTCCACACCCCTCATGACATCATTTTTCCAATGAATCCTTGCAACGGTAAATTTTGATGAAGTGGAAGGCCCATTTCACGCTGTCTAGGCTTGATCTGGTTCAGAACAATAGGCAATGCTTAGCAGCAACATTGGCTATTTGGTTTGTGGTAAACGACTTGTTGCAGCCCGGAAAATGTTCCAGGTAGCATGGGTGACACTAATACCTCCCCTATCCCTTTTCCCCGATCTCAGCCCTTGACCCTTTCCCCCCCCCCCGAAAGAAATCATTCGATGACATTGTGACCGCGTGGACAGCTCCTCAGGACAGTGGCCATGGACAATTTCTCCGTGGAGGTAACGTGCTGGATGTGGAGGACAATGCGTTTACAAACCAGGCGTCGGGGAAGCGGAGGGCTGGCGGGTCAGATGATTAAACTCTAGCTTAGCTGGCTGCATGGAACAAACATTTCTTTGGGTCTAGAATTGTTTTGAATTTGTTTTTTTGGTTTTGGATATTTTTTGTTGGATTTGTTTTTCTGGCCGTTTTCTTTGCTATTTGCAGCATTTTGGAGCTGGAAGCTGCCATTTCAACTGTCTTTGCAACATTTTGGAATTGGAACTTCTCATTTTCCATAGTACTTCCAACATTTTGGTGGAATTTGTAACATTTTGGAGGTGGAAACTGCCTTTCCAACGGTATGTGCGGCATTTTTGAGTTCGAACATTTCATTTTCGATGGAATTTGCAACATTTTGTTTCCCGAACTGTCCATGTAACATGGTAGCTTGCCACTAGGGTTCATTTAAGATTGGTTTTAGGGTTAGTTTGGGTGTTTTGTTTCGTTTTAAATGTTTTAAGGGTTCGTTTTAGAGTTGGGGTTTAGATATTTAATTTTCTTAAAGGGTTAGTTTAATTTTTTTGGTTTGTTTTTAGTTTTATTTAGGAATAATTTAAATGTATTTATAGTTGGCTTAGACTTAAGACCCATTTAGGGTTGGCCTAAAGTTTGTTGAGGGCTGTTTAGGGATCTATTTAGGCCTGGTTTGGAATTTATTTAGGTTTGGATGAGCATTTGTTTGGGGCTGGTTTAAAGTGTGTTCAGGGTTTATCCAGGCTTGGCTTAGGGTCTATCTAGAATTGGCCTAGGACCTATTCAGGATTTGCTTAAGGTGTGTTTAGCGTTGACTTAAAATTTGCGTAGGTCTCGTTTAAAACCTATCTAGGGTCGGTGTAAGGTTTGTTTAATATAACTTTCAAATTTATTTAGGGCGTGCTTAAAGGTTTACTTCGAATTGGTTTAACGTTTTTTTGGTTGGTTTGGTGTTGTATTTATAGTTGATTTAAATTTATTTAGCAAAAAAAAAAAATCAAGCTTCCAACAATATGGACAGGTGGAAAAGCAAAGGTGGTAAGAGTCAGCGAAGAGAAGAGCAGAAGAAAGAAGATCAGAGAAAAGAAAAAGCAGAAAAAAGAGGGACGGGGGTCACATTCGCCCCTACCCCCCTAAAATCCCCCGCGTCAGCTTCGACCAGGCACTCTCGGCACTCTGGCCACAGGCATTTGTTGCTAGAGCCTTGAAGCCTGCCGTTTGCCTCCATGGCCCTCCGTTGTTAGGGCGTTTGTTAGATCTCAAATGCCTAAAATTCCCCCGCGGCAGCTTCGACCAGGCACTCTGGGCACTCTGGCCACAGCCATTTGTTGTTATAGCCTTGTTGAAGCCTGCCGTTTGCCTCCATGGCCCTTTCAAGCCTGCCGTTTGCCAGCCCTCAAATGCTTAAAATTCCCCGCGAGAGCTTGAAAGTTTTCTGTTTGTGCCGCGACCCTAAACTTGAAACCGTTATATATTTGCATACTAAAGGTAAGAATGGCGTGAAAACGAAAATATAAATCTAGATGCTAAAATTTGATGGTGGTAGATTGTAGAGACAGCACCGCGGCCGCAAGAATGCAGTTTTGATGCTGGGATAGCATCTTGAGGTTACCATTTTTATCATCTGATACTGGGATAGCTTATATACTGTTATGATGCTGGGAAAGATCTTGTTATGATGCTGGGATAGCATCCTGTTATGATGTTGGGATAGCATCCTGTTATGATGCTGGGATAGCATCCTCTTATGATGTTTTGATGCTGGGGTAGTATCATGTCATGGTGCTGGGGTAGCATCCTGTTTTGATGCTGGGATAGCATCCTGTTATGATGTTGGGGTAGCATCCTGTTATGATGCTGGGATAGCATCCTCTTATGATGTTTTGATGCTGGGGTAGTATCATGTCATGGTGCTGGGATAGCATCCTGTTTTGATGCTGGGATAGCATCCTGCTATGGTGCCGGGATGGCATAAACAGATGCTGGGCATCATAACAGTAAGTTATCCCAGTATCAGACGATAAAACTGGGCAACCTCAAGATGCTATCCCAGCATCAAAACTGCATTTTTGCGGCGGCGGTGCTTTCTCTATAAGCTACCATCATCAAATTTTAGCATCTAGATTTATATTTTCGTTTTCACGCCATTCTTAATTTTTTAGTATACAAATAATTATATAGCGGTTTCAAGTTACGGCCGTGGCAAAAACGGAAAAATTTCAGTCAAATATTTACGCTAACATGCTGTAGCCCCAATGGCACCCCTACTACGCAAAACTAAGCTGGCGTCACCCAACACCAGCGCAGGGCAGCCACGACAGCGGCGCGGAACATACACCGGAGCAGCTTTGGCAGACGCCAGAAGAGCCAAAGAGCGAACCTACCCGAACCCCTGCGAGGAGGTAGGTGCAAATTGGTGGTGGTGGCATTGGAAGTGGGTGGGCGGTTCAGCGAAGAAGCATCTTCCTTCATCCGGCTGCTCGCACAAGCACGCAGTCGCACAGCACCGGCACACCTCCGGAGGGCAACAGCTCAAGCGTACATAGCCTGATGGTCTGCTAGACTGACACATGCAACCCAAACTGCATTTACAAACAGCCTTGCCTTCCTCGACCCTGGTCCACAAGCCGATTTGGATGGGGACCCCCCCCTCCTCAGCGACTTGCTCCACTTGATTACGGAGCCCCCGACCCATTCCCGCCTCCCCCTAACCTGATGGTTTTTCGGCCTTTGGACTTTTGCACATCTAGAGACTGGCCAGTATAAAACAGTCATCCAACCCCTAAAATCAAGTTTTGGGGGACCTGAAACACTCACGCGGAAAAAATTGTGCGCGAAAAATCTTAACCTTCACTTCATACGCAATCTCGCCTGCAGCATCAACCATATTCTGCAGTGCGCTTGCTAGCTTGGAGTCAACAGATTGGAACCTGAAATAGCCTGAGTTGGACCGCATGCATGGTCGGGGTCAGGCATTTGAGCAGGAGCAAACCATGTTCTCCATGATGCAGTGTCAGGATCAGATACAGCTTGGACAACATTTGAACGCCAAACATCAAAATCTTGACATTTTGGCCATGGTTTGACAATGATCCTCTCATGTTTTTTTTCCCGAAATGCGGGTAATCCAGCCCCTGAAGTCCGGTACCTGATCTTCCACACCTATGCTCACATCTTGGCCGCTCTGCCGGCCCCAAAGTCCAGGAGGATTGTCAGGAACGGGACCAGGAACGTCATCATTCGTTCCTCTCCATGTCTCCTGATCATCTTCCACCTGTTGTGGCCAACTTTGGTGCTCCCTCCTCTCGTCGTAATGACGTTGACCACGAGTTTCAGCCTGACTAAGTTCTTCTCTGAATTGGTCTGCTTCACTAGCGGCATGCCCACTACTACCTCTAGGCATTGACGGTGGTAATTGAAGCCTTTCATGACCACCAGTGATGGGAGCAGCCTAAAGGGCCTTTGGGGTTCCCCCCACGAGCGATGCCGGGAGTCTTTGCCCTTAGCAACAAACTCATCGGGCATAATGACATAGGCTGGATTGCCGATGGCGAAGCTGGAACGCGAATTGCAGGTGCCGCAACAGCCGGCATAGAGGTCAGTTTCCTGTTGGCCTCCTGAAATTCGACGTAGCGCGTGGTGTTCTTTCTGACCGTCTCATCACGTTCCTTCACCACCATGTCGTGCATCTTCTTCCATCCTTCAGCTTCATCCTCCTCTACATTGAGCAATGCTTCCGGCAGTTTCGGGTCGGAGCCGACCCGGATGTGCAAATCCATCTCTATACCGGCGGCCCCGGATGCTCGAAACCATTTCTATACCGGCGGCTCCTGGATGTGCTGCTGAGCCCTCGGCAGGGTTTAAATCCAACCCACCGGGGCGCTGTGAGCTACGTTGTCTCTTGTGCGAGGAGTTAGCTCCAGAAGCAGAGCGTCGGCGCCGCCGGTGCATGGCCGCATGCGTGATGACGGCAGACCATCTCGCCATGTGTGCAATGATGGCTGTGGAGCGGCTGTTGCGGGGTGGGGTCTGCGCTCTCTTGTGTACGCCAAATGTCTGCGGAATGGTGTTGCCTCTGCGCTCCACCTGCCGCCCACTTCGAAGGCCAGCACAATCAATCAGCAGCGGCTGCGTATTGTCTGCCTCGACGGCGTGGTTGGCCAGCACTTGCGAGTGGGGCGACCAGGGTTGTGCCAATGGCCAGCTGGCTGCCGTTGTATAAGGGCAATCCCTGGTCGTCAACTTGTTGGACTGTGGGGGGGTTCAGGTCTGAGACCCGCGTGTGCGTTGTGACCCTTGCCCGTGCTGCTCTGCATATTCTGGCAGCGGTTTGCTCCAAAGGGATGCCCCTGGTTCGCAAAACCCTCGTTCTGGAACAAGCTGCCCGGTGGTCGCCCAGTGGGTCAACGTTGCGACGGCACCGGCAAGTGCATTCTGACAAGGGTAGGGGAATATGGAGGCGTTTGAGCATGAGCAAGCGAATGGGGTGTGAGGGGTATGATGTGTCTGCTGTGTATGGCACAGTGGTGAAAGCTCCGCTGGCGAAGGGCCCTGATTGAAAACGTTGAGGTGACACACGCGGTTCAGAACGTGTGAGTGTGAATAGCCTACATTGAAAACGAACCATTGTGACCGTTTCTTTCCATAAAACCCGTCCCAAAAGTTCGAAACCCACCGCTCAAAACAATCCTGTCCGAAAAAATGGTTTGGGATAAAATGAAAAGAAGGGGGGCAACAATTCCGTTCTCCATTCTCGTCGTGAAAAATGACGTCAATGTTTTGCAGGGTCGTCCAACGGTATTGGTAAGCCGGCCGGGGACATCAGTTTCCCAGGCGCTTGCAAGTAAGGGATTGTCAGCATCAATTTGGCCTTGGGGTGGCGTTGGAATCTCGGGGTGGGGCTGGGGTAGGGTTGAAGCGACGTGGTAGTTGCACCGCTAAGGAAAGTGGAAGCAAATCAAAAAACTGTGGGGTTATGGTCGGGTTCTGATGGGGTCAGGGTGCGGTTGGGATGGGGTACTATATTATTGCTATATTATTTTTGATGACAACGAGCCTATCCCAACAGTGGGCGCAAGAAAAATTTTAACTGTGAAACATTATGTTTGCCTGACTTCCGGTGGCTACATGCTTGCGGGTGTTCACAACCTAAAACGGAGGGAATTACAGCTACCTGCCTTTTTTTTTCACTTCCTATTTTTACCGAAGCACCGTTTGTCGTGCTTTCCAGGTACCAGGGCGAAACACCAGATCAAAACCGTGTGGATCGCCTTGGAACGCATAGATGGGAAGATGCACTTTTTGTGCACTGGGAACCACGGCGGAGATACCACACATTTCCCGCTGCCATTTCCAGAACTTCCGATTCTACCCCCAATGTTTTTGCGGAAGGGTCACGGAAAGTATCAATTTCAAAACAAAGTCTTGCCTTGCCATGAAATATGTGCAAAATCTTTGTGCGACAGGCTGCGCAAACGACAGTGCACCCAAAAGTTTCGTGAAACTCTATGCCAGCTGAAAACATAATTGCTGTGAGGGGCCCACGGGAGCAAATAAACCAGCGTCGGTTCCGCGAACGCTAGCAGAAAAAAAACTAGAATTTAGCAAGGGCATTGGCAAAATCAACCTGGGACGCAACACGAGAAGGAAAACGGTTTTTGACATTGCACCACAAAGGAACCGAATGAACTATCGAACATTTCCTGGGGTGACGAAAACTTGCGACCGAATCAACCATACTGTCTTGTTTGGAGCAACAACATGTGCCATCTCCATTTTCACCCATGGAAAAAAAAATAACAAAGTGGCGTCGTATGCTCGAGCCAGACTTTTGATATTTTTCGGGCGGTGAAACGAAAAAATGTATTGAACATATTGTTTTTCAATGCTGGGTTGGAAATTACTTGTTGAAACAGAAATCTCCTTTGACAATTGAAAGAACCTAGTTACAAAGGACGCCGACTGACTAACACATGGTATTTGATGCTGTATGCACCTTCATTGGGTGGACTGGACAGCATGATGCAGATATTGGTCGAAAAATTGCATCCGGCTGGGTTGAAATGTAGCACCGACAAAACAAAACCGCTCACGATTTACAATGTAGATCGGTTTTTGTTCATCGAAATGGGTGACAGGATGTTTGAACTTGTTCATGACCTGCCACTCACCAATGTTTAGGCCGAAACATCTTGGCACACCTACATAAACGCAGCCAAGTTGAATAGAACCACCACTTTCAATTTGGGTGAGGTGAAATTTCAACAACAACACCAGTGTTTTTCGACGAACACTGATGTCGATATCAAATTGAAACCGTTCTTACGCCCACAATTTGGTTTGGATTAGCGATCTTTCCCTTGACACAACCGTGATGAAACTTGACCGTACTCAAAGGCGAATGCTTCGATCGATACTCGGTGGGGTTCGGGATGATGCTGAAACTTGGGAGACAACAATGCGTCGCATGAAGTCCATGAAGTCAGGGTTCATCACACCAAATTGCTGGAAGACAATATGATGTTGCGCGGCGACGTGGTACACAACATTTCTGCAGCATGTTAGGGGTTCGGGTCCGTAGCCATCAATACACCGGTACACCGTTGCGCCGATCGCTGTGTTTACGTCGATACGCCGTTACCCCGGTACACCGCTCGTCGCTGCACGTTACGCTCTTACGCTGTCCTCGCCGTTGCGGCGAGCGGGTGTCATTGCACCGCTACGCCGATACGCCAGTCGCTGAGCTTACGCCGATACGCCGATCGCTGTGAATACGCCCACGCCACTTGCTGTGTGGCAAACATGTTACAATGCAGCACAAATTTCGCTCTTTTGATGCAAGTGCTACTCTTGCAGCATGTTTTGCAGGTGGATGTCAGGAACCGCTGACACCCTTAAGGTCAGCCAACACCACATTGGATGTGGTGAATGTGCTGGTCTTACAGATGAAACGCGGAGCAGTGGTACAAAATTACAAAGATAACAGTGGTGCGTTAGTGGTGCAATTGATCTTTGAAATTGCAACAATGGCCTCGTAATTTATATTTATATTATATAAGTCACCACTGCAGAAACGCCAAATGCAAGTTGATGAGTGAAGCAATTGTCTAAAGTATCTTGGCGACAAGCGGTCGAACCGTCATGCACTCTTCCAACCGGCGCCAAACACATTGAACTATGAAACCAACGTTGGTTCAGCTTTGAAGGCTACCGTTTTCGAAGCAGGAGCAAATCTTGCCCAAATCAACTCGGCACCAAAGACACAACAAGGACCGACAACGTTTAACAGCTTTCACAAGAACGCATATGGCAGACCTACCTCACTATCATTTCGGTCGAGTTTAGGGGGCCCGGATATGCCAAAGGCATTTGATAGCGCAACAGTCCGAAGTAGACTATAGTCGAGGGTTGAAACAGTTTGCAAGTGTTCACGATACTCGTGTTTGATTTTTGACGATCTCTTTTTGTCGCAGCTGCCTACAGCTTCGAACCGTTCCTGTCTGGAAGTCCTTTGGACAGGACTCAGAGTCTGTTCAGAAAACAAAGCCCACAGAAGTTGTGAATCTTTCGGATGTATATAGAGCTATAATGTGCGCATGAATTTGCTTCATCAAGCTTCAATCTCCTGCGCTTTTAGACTTTAGCGATCTGTGATCAAAGTTTGAGATGCGCGTGCCAAAGAAGCCTCCGCACCTGGTGTTGTGCTCTATTTTCGACCTGAGCCTTTCTTGATCTGAACATTCCAATTTTCCAACACTTACAGTACCATACGTTGCTTTTCTGCTTTGACTGTTGTGCTTAGAAACCTCGAAACCTCACAGTGAAGCATTCAAAAATGCTTCAAGTTCCGAAAACCTATCGCACGAGTTGCCGGGTGAGGGTGACAGCTCCATCTGATAAAGATTTCAAAGAATGTGCTACAAATAAATCCCTTCCTCATCCTCAATCTAATGGGCATGCCGCAAACCTGGCTCCGTTTCTGGAATGTCATATCCTTGCGATGTGAATGGACTCAACACTCAAAGCTCGTGTAGCCGATGCATTGTGTTCCAAGTTCCAAAGCAAAGGCAACGATTCAATGGGAATATCAGGCTATGCCAGACAGATCTAGACAGTCTGGCTGTTTGCAATCCCAAGAATAGCATGCGAAGGAACTGATATCACACCAGGACCCAGCAGCAGAGCTTTTTTCGCATCTACGTTTGCAGCTGCTGCAGCGTGTTCTGCTGGAAAAGCGATTGCCTGGCTGGTCCCATCACATTTCAAAATAGATAGGCAGTCCAATTGCTGTCTTCGGACCGCCGTCACGCCTACAACCCAGCTGCTTCAAGCTTTGCTGGCAGTGGTTTCCTGCGCCAGGCATTAACGTTTGAAGCTGTGCACATTTCGAATCCCCAATTCAAGGCTATGCACAACGAGTTCATGAGGCGTCTTCGCGATATCCACATTTACTAGTATCAACCACTATCCTGCTGGCATCTGAGAATCTACAGGGCAACCACAGCAGTAGCATACCACACGAACAAAACAGGGGTCGTTTGGACTTCCGGCCCAACGAGTTTCGACAAGGTTACACTACACTGATGCGGGTTTGGCTTGTCTGAAACTAGGACACCCCTCAAAACTCGCTGGCTTAAAACCTAAATTTTACCGATGAAAATTGCCTGACATGGGGGAGTACGCTCCACTGTCAGACACCCATCGATACACGAATGACCTGGCTTTCATTTCAATCATCTGTGAATATTCGTGGCAATAGTTTGATGGTGTTTGCAGATTTTGTAGTTTCCGTCAGCAAAAGGATTCGACCCTAAAAAGGCCTGCTTCTTCGCTCCAACCTCTTTACCTTCAATCTTTGTCTCCTCAATTTGTGCGAGTTGCGATTAGAATTCCTGGTGTACATCCCACTGCAATTAGAAGTGGTGCAGCAACAAAAATCAGTCATCGGTGTCTCCGCCCAAAATGTTGCTCCTTCTTTTCCTCTCCTTGCTTTTCGCTCTCGTCTTCGTACAGATCTTCCTGAGAACTTCAGCGAGATGAAGAACTGAGCAATACTCAGCAAACTCAGCAAGTGCCTTTTTATTCAGCTGCCCTGCGCCTTGTCATCCTCGTCATCTTCGTCGTCCACCTCCTCGTAGAGTAGTTCTACGTCCTCTTCCTCCTAGGCCAAAAGGGTGGAGCACTGGGGAAACAACCCGTCACCAGTCTATGGATCCAAGGACTTCCAAAAAATAACATGTCCGACGACGGGACCCAGCCTTCTCTTCGGTGCGCCCGAAGTTCGTTGCGAAGGGGACAACAAAGAGGATCACAAACCTCTGCTTTTCAAGGCTGATCAAACTGAGTGAAAAATACCCCTATCCCATCCCCTTATACTAGTTGCTTAATAGTTATCCCTATTCTGGTTTATTGTAATCCGCATTAAACATCATTAAACCAGGTAGTATAATCCCCATAATAACCTGGGTCGGATTGATTTAGCTCGTTTCGTGGCTTGGTTTCTGGCATCAAGGCTGACAGCCCGAAGGCCACTGCATAAACCTCAGCGCTAGCGCTGCACTGTGAAGCTTTCCTCCACTTGCGGGATGTATCCCAGTTAGTAAGTGGGCAATAACCATATTATATATACCCCAGTTGTATATGGAATATCCTCAGTTATGTGTGTATTTGTATATATATACAGTATATATATTTATGAATATGAATTACAAACCACTTACTATCTGGCATGCACATCCTCCAGCAATGTCATATTCTCCTGACTTAGAACCCCACGTCAAAGGGATTGCCCATGTTCTCATAGGCATCGTAGGTTTGAATCTCGGCATGGCAGAACACAAAGCGTACTTGCGACTTGGTATAGAATTCATCTGGTTTCACTTTCGTGAAAACCAATATTTCGCATCTGACCTTGGCCTTTGGGCAGACTGAGTGAATCACTTGCCGCACAACCCGTGGCCATGGCCTGCAGTCGACAATGCCACTGTCTGACGGACTGATACGGGCTGTTTCAAAGCGATTCGCCGCGTGTCACGCGGTGCCTCGCCTCTGTCTCTGCCGCACGGCTTCCGAAGAGCTTTTCGAACTCAGACGCAAGCTCTGGGGGGACTAATGTTGGTAAAGCATGGTAAAGCAATGTCATAAACCACCCATATTCTGATCATACCATCCATAAAAATGGTAAAATTGGGGATGGTTTCCTATTGCTTCACGTCGCATGGCAATCCATTCAGCAATCTTTCTGCTCCAGCTCTCCACGACCTATATTTCACATGTGCAACTGCGTAACTTTGCTACAACAGGAAAACTCTACAGTGTTTCGTGCATTTGCATTCCACAAAATGCGTCCTACACCAAAATCTTTGCCATGGTTGACTTCGAGGTTTTTACCTTCCTTCCATGCCTCGCAAATGGTTGGATTGCAAGTGGTAAGATCAAAAGCCAGGGATCCAAGCAAGCTCCCTGCAAAGTTAAAACCTCAGCAAAACTACTCCACTCAAAGAGTTCCATAAACTCTAGACATTTCCAGGGGCAAGTCCCAAGTCTTGGACTCAGGCATTCCAAGTCCTGCTGGAGTGGAGTAAAGTGGAGCTACTGATAGAAGGATTCAACCGGCAGAGAATATTCTGGCAAGTCCTGGGCGTCGATGTGGGATAAGCTCCAAAGGAAGGCGCAAATGCATAGGACCTAAATCCACAGAAATCCACACGTCTTGTCACGTCCGAATCCACACGTAAAAAGAAGGTGCAGTCCAAGCTACAGCGGGAGCCTTTCTTCTCCGGCAAATGCGCGCCATGGCTGAAACAAGAGCACAGTATCTGGTGCAAATTATCTGTGAGATCTCTATGACGTACTGCAAGATGGTTGATTCTACAAAGTTCTCTACGAGAAAGAGATCAGTGTCGTAGTCTTTTCTCTGCGCCTTGGGGTTTTTCAAAGGCTAAACCCAAGCAGGATATGTCTTGAACTCCGAATCCAGCACTGAAACAGCTCATTGGCAAACCCGAGCGTCGTGTTTCTGAAGTTCTGAGATGAAAATCTAGCTAGGCAAAGCTTCAGTGCACACGGTACAGTCTTGCAGCATTCTTTCGAAGCATGTCGATTCTTCTGCATACTGTATCCCAGGGTGGATACAGGGTGCAGAGATCTCCAAGCAACCATGCAGCATGCAATGCACCAAAACCGAGACCTTGCAGGGAATCACTCCGATGGTAAAAAACATCATGGCAAAAATACTGTCCCATGTACTGTCCAATTGAATTCTTGATGATTTCTTGCGTATACCGTATACCCCCAGCTGTTGAAATCCTCAGCTCAGTGCATCAGAACATGCTGCATCTGCAAAATCAGAGACATCGGCTACGCGGCTAAGGTGACGGTCACAGTGGTTCGAAACATGGTCAGCTCATGCCACCGTTGCACCAGGTGTTTGGAAGATATCACATCCCACCGTTCTGCAAGGAGTGCTACACCCAGATGTGTAAAGGAGATGAAAAATGACAATATGCAACACCCACATGTTTTGCAAATCATTATCCCAACAGCTTGCTTTGTCATACGTATCCCTTTCAAAACGGTGTGAAAATGTTCCGAATAAAAAAGATCCTCTCACTTTGCTTCGCAAGAAGTGAGAATCAAAGCTTCGCGGAACTTGACGTGATATTTCGGGAGCCCACCAGGGAAAATTCCAAGTCAGTGCAGGACTCTGACTTAGTCGACCTCCTGCACACCATCAGTCAACCCTCTGCGGTTGTGGTTCTGCGACAAGCTCGTGCTGCTTTGGAACCTGCGGCTGTGAAAACATTCCGTCAAAATGATATGTCGAGTCGTCGAGTTAGCTGCCGCTACCATACCCTTGCTAGGCTCTCTTGTTTCCAGAGCACCTTGTTTCCGAAACTCTAAAGCTGTCCAAGGTATCCAAGGTAACAAAAACTTGACAAGCTCCTGAAGTTGCCTCTTCCTGGACTCTTCCTCATCACTTTCAATTCAAACGGCCATCGCAATCTCCGCCTTTGCTTTCTTGGCACGTCGAGGCTTCCTGCGATGGGTAGCGAAGCAACCGTCGATGCCAAAGTGTCCTAGCCAACTGCCTGCCTGCGCCCTTTCTTTATGCCCTCCCCAGCATGCTGATCCTTAGCAGCAAGGGCACCTTCAGCAAACTTTGCTGCATTGAAAGATTTTAATTCAGATCAAAACACGACAAGGTGATGACCTTCACACCTTCCAAGGGAAGCGCCCGGAGATCGTCAGGCTGCGAAGAAGTCTGGCAGAACGCAGGGTTCACTGGGAGCAAAAGGAAACACGGGAAATTCAGATTTTTCAAAAATATGGGGTTGAGTCAAAACCCTGGTACCCTGGTGAATTCAAAATATTGCAGTTGGTAAATGCATGTTCATCCCCCCAAATGCGGTACTTTTTTGGTTTTGAGCCGTCCCCACATCTCGAAGCCAGTCGTCAACGCTCTGAACACTTCTATAGCGACAGGGATGATTGGACGAACCTCATCGCCGCTGTCCGGCGGAGCATTGTGGCCTCATGATTCAAACCCCATCATTGTAATATTGGGGCCAGCCACGTCTCCATGTTCCATATCTTCCAAGTGGTTTATTTTATGTGGGTGTCTTAAAATGGTGGATCCCAATATCCAGCGGTTTATTGGTTCATTAAACATTACCATTTTGGAGGTCCCCCATTATAGGACAGAGCCACTGAAATTCTATACGCCTTGACTGTGACGATTTCAATCGCGCCTGGCTCAAGCAGGGGAGACCAGCCTGGCACAGTGAAGGATCGGTGCTGACGTGCTGATGTTGCCTTGGCATCTTCTGAGTTTCTGGGTTTCAGGAATGCCTTCCAGTCGATTAAAAGTTCGACCCAAAATGTATTTTCGAAACTATTTTTCCAAGCCCCTATTTGGCAGGGTTGCTAGTTGGGGCTGTTACTTTCTTCCTGAAACAGCCTCGCTGATGAGATCAAGATAGATCAAGTGCGCCTGACTCCGCCAGTTCTTGGATAATCCTCCCAACACCTTGGATAGCTCGAACGCAATTTTTTTGGATCCAAAGCCAAACAATTCGTTGAGAAGGTTGAGTTTCAGTCACATACATTGCATATCGGATATCAAGTCCTAAGGTAAAGCGCGCCACGCTCCTTGTCGCTATACTATCCCTCTCGCTGATCAAGGCAAGTTTCAGGTAGTCCGGGTCTCATTGATCATTGGTCTGAAAATATCACTGCCGGACACTCTTCCCCAATCCAAAGAGGCCACAAGTATTGCTTCCAAGTAATCCGTCACATTGCAAAGTTGCTCAGAACAAAAGGTTGCAGTCTTTGAGGAAACAAAACCAGGCATCAATGCAGTTCTTCAACGACTGTGCCAGATCGATATATGGCTATGGGTCAAAAGCCTATGGAATCCCTGGCTGAGCTTCCTGGCAGTCCCTCGCATTGGAGCAGCCCTCCACAAGGAGACTTAGGTCGAGCATGGTCACTCGACGTGTATGCTTCAGTTACAGATTCTACGACTTCTACCTATATATATAGGATGTATTAATAGGGGATTCCCATATATAATGATATATTATGGATACCATATAATCCCCAGGTATATTGATCATATATGGCATGATGTGCCCACACCTCTGCACCTATCGAGCTGAACGTATTGGATTTAAAGTGGACACGTGCAGGATATGCTTTGTGAAATCGGCATCGTGTTTCTCTTCTGTCCAGCGATGCCAAACAATGAGGTTACCACATTCCATCTGCTCTCAGAGTTAGCCTCAGGAGACTTCCACAAGAACTCTTGAACTGCCCGGGCAGCTAACACACCAAGCCCTTCAAAACAAAGCAGACTGTGAAAGTACACCATGAAATGACAGAATATTGTTTAATAAAACAAGATATATAAAATATGAGTAAAAAACACATATATTCAATTTTATACAATCATAGAGTAAAATCAAATATAATGTCAAATGATATAAAATGAAAGAATATCATATAACATCAAACTTAAGAACATAAAATAGAATACGAAGATTCCAGGTCTCCGGACTGCAGGGCACCCGACGCAGCCACGAGTTCATTCAGGAGCCGCTCCACCGTCTTGGCCGCACAAACATGGCGTCACTGTGTGAATCTTAAAGGAAAAAATACACAGCGAAAGGATAGTTCCAGCATGTTCCAGCCAACCAAAAAGATTTTGAAGTCGCCTGGGATTCCTTTCCATTGTTGGAAAATGTGTCAAAATGTCTTGTGTATGTCCATGGACAGAAAGCACACTGGCCTCCAGCATCTCCATCGGTAGCCTGAAAGCACCGCGGGTTTCCTCCCAACTGGTGCAGCTCAAACTGAGTACTCAGGATACGGCTGAATTTGAAACTCCTCGGGTGTTGGTACCTCACATGATAAGCTAAAAACACTTGCAAAGCGAAATCATGTGAAATCTAGTCTCAAACTCATTGCAAAGCAATTCGGTATTCTGTTTCTGGGCACGCAATGTGTATGAAGCAAGACTTCTGCTCTATTTAGAGCATCATCCAGCGCAGCTCCTGCAAAGCGCAACGCTGCTAGTGCGGCAAATACAGTCAGCGAAGGCACACATCATTGTGGTAAACCCAATAATAAACCCCTTTTCGCGGTGCGAGTAAGGTTTCATCGAAAAAAATGAAAATAAATCTAATCATCTAAACTCATACCCGAAATTAAAAAGATTGGGCATCGATGGGGTCTGCTTTGGGTTTACCACATTCTCCCTTGTTTGCTTGGCCCGACCTGTTGTGTCGTCACAAATCTGGACAGGCAAACACTGGTAGTCAGCGACCTTTCTTGGGCTCACAGATTGGCAGCAGGATTGAAAAACCATGGAAAACCCTTACCAGAAGAATGATCACTAGGTCACTATTTCTTTTTGTCACTTGGAAGTGGTGTCATCTCATTTTGCCGGTCAAGTTGTGTCTTCCGACAACTTCATCCACTGAGAGCGATGCCCTTTCAGCAGGGACAGCAGAGTCATCGCTCCTTTGCCTGACCACAAGGATCATGACTGGTCATGGCTACTTTGACTACCACGAACCCAAGACCACCAGTCAAGCATTGTTGCCACTGTTCGTCTCCCAGGAAAAAAGAACCTAAAAGCCAAAGGATCCAAAGGGAAGGACCACTGCAATCAATCGATCAGCATTGATGACCAAGTGACCAGCTAACCAACGCCAGAGCTACCTGCGCTCCTGGACCTTCTCAGTTTTTTCTTGCGTCTGATTTTGAAGTGAAATCATTTTTTTCTCTGCATCCTTCTCCTTGGACATGACCCCGATGACGATCTCCAGGGGAAAAAAAAAACAGCGGAAAAAAAACAGCGAAAACAGCACAGCCACAAAGCTCTCTCGAAGTTCGAAATCTGACTTAGCCTTCTTAGCCTTGATCAAGCCTTGGTATTGCCCGAACCCTGGATCTATGATTCCCACTCCCAGCAATTCTTTCGCACCTGAGGCCAAGCCCACACATCAACATATCAAAAAACTGCAAACAACTACAACTTGGCTGAAATGATGAAATTCTTACATACTACAGTACATATATCTACAATTATCTACATATCCAGAAGGTGAACGGGTTGAGAATCAGCTGAGCACGCTCCCAGTACTTCTCCAAACAACTGTTGAGGACTTCCTGCGCAGGTGGTTGATCTGGCTTGGTGAGCTGCTAATCCCCTGGGTGACAAAAGAAATGCTGGATTTTCTGTGGATGGTCATCTCCCTAAAAAATGTATCTACAGATTTATATAGATTTATAGCTACTGATCCATAAAAATCCATCCTCAAATCACTGACTCTTCGGCTCGCAACTGGACGAAACACGTTGCTGCCTGATAGTCATTGCGGACCGTCTCAGAAATCGACTTCAGCATCTCTGCACCAATGTCCGGATGACTTCCCTGCACCTGGCAACACAGTCTCGCAGTCTGTGACCGGCAGAAAGTCACCGACTGCCATGTCTGGGTGAAGTAGTACTGGAAAGAATGTGGTTGGGTCCTAAATTTGATTGGAGACAAAAAACACTGAAAAACTCCATTCCACCTACTGGTGAATCATCAGTATTCCTGCTATTGGGAGGCCATTGGTTGTCCTAACGTCATGGGTCCAAGCTTCGTCCACATCACCAATCCAGCCAAGTTTCTGCCTGGCACTTGTTTGACAAGTCCTTCACTGTTGCTTGCAAGGAACGGATGTCCTGGCTAAGCCACAAATGTGATCATAGGGCTTAGTATCCAATCTTGGTGCAAGTCAAGCAGACACTGTACAAAGAGCTACTTTTATATATATATATATACATCTCAAAGTGACATATGAAGAACTCACCACGTCTTCCGCGCACAGCTCTTTTTCAACCACCTACCAAAGTTCAGTCTGTTTCACCTGCTCTCCTCAGGTTTGCTTTGGATGTGTCACAATGTGACTCGCACATAGCCCCAGACCGAATCACCTCTGGTCAGCAACCTGGTCACCCCAGGTTGGGACCTGCCTTTGCAGGTATCACCCGTCCCTTAACCTAAGGGAGGGAAGTTTCTTTTGGTCGCCCCAAAAGAGTATCCCCGAAAGAGGCTATGTACTCGCCTGCCATGCAGGCTCCCCTAACCTAGGCGGACATCTCCACGGGAGGTCGGCTCTTAGGGTTGGGAGGGTGGGGAAAGAAACAGCAATGAATGCTATTTTGGCTCAGCTCCACTTGAGCCAAAATGAAAGCATTCATTGACTCACTTAAAGATGACACATGCACACCCAAGCCTGCCAAACTCAATGCATGAATACATCTCAAAGTGACATATGAAGAACTCACCACGTCTTCCGCGCACAGCTCTTTTTCAACCACCTACCAAAGTTCAGTCTGTTTCACCTGCTCTCCTCAGGTTTGCTTTGGATGTGTCACAATGTGACTCGCACATAGCCCCAGACCGAATCACCTCTGGTCAGCAACCTGGTCACCCCAGGTTGGGACCTGCCTTTGCAGGTATCACCCAATGCACTCAAACACCCAAAGCACTAGAGGAATTCAAAGGTGAGAATGACTGCAACGAATGGCAACTGGAAAAAGATTGTGGGGAGGTACGACGAATGAAAGCTAGATCCATGGCAGTGCCACCAAGTCGTCGGCCCAGTTGCTCTTGCTCTGGACGTACTCCCAGTAGCCCTGGGCACGCAGTGCGAAGAGGGCCAAAGGAATCAGATGGCCTAGCTTTGCTAGGTCCGAATTGCTAGAACGTCCCCTCACTAAGGTCATGACTGCAGCCACAGCGTCGAGGAACCATAGACCGTGTCGATGGCGGAGAAGGCCAGGGCTCTCACTCAAGGTGTAAATTACCATGGAGAGCTCCAACTGCGCAATGTGGGTCTCTGCAGGCTGCCACAGGAATTGTAGTTCTTCGCAATTGGTAGCAACAAAACTGTAAATTCACGTTTTGGCTCGAAACGCATCACTGCTTCGATCACCTCGAAGCATTCTTCAATCTCTGAAGTCAAGCTGGTGACACTCTCGTCCTGGCAAGCCTTCACTGCCATAAGGTCACCATAGCCAACTCGCCCATAGATGCCCTGCTCCTCAAGTTTCCCGAAGTAGGAGCACCCGTACTTGGAAGCTGAAATTCGCTTAAAAGTTCGAGCCAGATTCATGGCAAGTGGAAGGCACCACCACGTAGGATCGCCCCCACGTGGGCCCCAAACCTATGTCACAAAAGCAAGTAAGGCCACATCAAGTAGGATTGCCTCCGGCTTGAAACCCAACCTGCTTACGACAGCAGAGGCCTACAGCCTTGTGGCCACTGCCTGGCAATGATCATGGGCAACCTGTGAACCTCAAGTAGCGTTACCTCTACTTGGAACCTGGCTTGCTGGGGCAGGCAAAACTAACAGCCTCCAGCTCTGCTGAAAACGCAAACACGGGTGCCAGCAAGTAGGATGACCCCCACTTGAACTCCAAACGTGAATCACTAAGGCAATAAGGCCACACCAAGCAGGATCATCTCCTCCTTGAAACCCAACCAGCTTAAGCCCACAGCCCTGTGGGCACTGCCTGGCAATGCCCATGGGCAACCTGTGAACCTCAAGTAGCGTTACCTCTACTTGGAACCTGGCTTGCTGGGGCAGGCAAAACTAACAGCCTCCAGCTCTGCTGAAAACGCAAACACGGGTGCCAGCAAGTAGGATGACCCCCACTCGAACTCCAAACCTGAATCACTAAGGCAATAAGGCCACACCAAGCAGGATCATCTCCTCCTTGAAACCCAACCAGCTTAAGCCCACAGCCCTGTGGGCACTGCCTGGCAATGCCCATGGGCAACCTGTGAACCTCAAGTAGCGTTACCTCTACTTGGAAACCTGGCTTGCTGGGGCAGTCAAAACCAACAGCCTCCAGCTCTACTGAGAACGTAAAAAAAAAGAAGAAAAAAAAAACGGGTGCCAACGAGTAGGACCCTCACTTGGACCCCAAACCTACGTCACTGAAGCCAAGCAGAATATTTCCTGCTTGAAACCCAAACGGCTTGAGACAGCAGAGGCCCATATCTGTGAGCGCACTGCCGACACCCAGCTTGCTTGGGGGAGTCAAAACCAACAGCAGCCCACGCTGCTGAGATTGCAAAATCCAAGTTTCCAGAAGTAGGATCACCCCTACTTGGAAACTGAAATTCGCTGAAAATTCGAGCCATATTCATGGCAATTGCTAGGCACCCTCAGGTAGGATCACCCCCACTTGGATGCCGAACTTATGTCGCTAAAGCAAGTAGGGCTACACTAAGTAGGATTACCTCCTGCTTGAAACCCAACCAGCTTGAGACAGCAGAGGCTTACAGCCCTGTGGTCACTGCCTGGTAGTGCCGGTGGGCAAGCTGTGACCCTCAAGTAGCGTTACCTCTGCTTGGAAACCCAGCTTGCTCGGGAAAAGTCAAAAACCAACAGCCTCCAGTTTACTGAATGCTCAGAACCTCGGGTGCCCCGAAGTAGGAGCACCCGTATTTGGGAGCTGAAATTCGCTTAAAAAATTCGAGCCAGGCTCCTGGCGGGTGTTGGGTACCACCACGTAGGATTGACCCCACTCGGATCCCAAACCTATGTCACAAAAGCAAGTAGGGCTACATCAAGCAGGAGTGCCTCCTGCTTGTAACCCAACCTGCTTAAGACAGCAGATGCCCACAGCCCTGTGGTCACTGCCTGGCAATGCCCATGGGCCACCTGTGATCCTCAAGTAGCGCTACCTCTACTTAGAAACCCAGCTTGCTGGGGGCAGTCAGAACCAATAGCCTCCAGCTCTGCTGAAACCGCAAAAATCCAAGTTTCCAGAAGTAGGAACACCCCTACTTGGAAACCGAAATTCGCTTAAAAACTGGCGCTACATTCATGGCAAGTGTTGGGCACCAGCGAGTAGGATCACCCCCACTAGGGCCCAAAACATATGTCACTAAAGCAATAAGGTCACGCCAAGCAGGATTACCTCCTGCTTGAAACCCAACCTGCTTAAGACAGCAGAGGCCCACATCTCTGTGCTCACTGCCGCCACCCAGCTTGCTTGGGGAAGTCAAAACCAACAGCCCCCAGCTCTGCTGAAATTGCAAAAATCCAGTTTCCAGAAGTAGGATCACCCCTATTTGGAAACTGAAATTCGCTTAAACAATTCAAGCCATATTCATGGCAACAGCTGGGCACCCTCAGGTAGGATCACCCCTACTTGGACGCCGAACCTATGTCGCTAAAGGAATTAGGGCCACACCAAGTAGGATTGCCTCCTGCTTGGAACCCAACCTGCTCAAGACAGCCCTGTGGTCACTGCCTGGCAGGGTCGATGGGCAACCTGGGCTTCTCAAGTAGCGTTGCCTCTACTTGGGAACCCAGCCTGCTTGGGGCAGTCAAAACCAACAGCCTCCAGCTCTGTTGAAATTGCAAAAACAAACCATGTTTCCAGAAGTAGGATCACCCCTACTTGGAAACTCAAATTCGGTTGAACTTCAAGCCATATTCATGGCAAGTGTTGGGTACCCACCAGTAGGATCACCCCCAATTGGAAGGACCCTATGTCGCTAAAGCAATTAAGGCCACACCAAGTAGGATTGCCTCCTGCTTGGAACCCAACCTGCTTAAGACAGCAAAGGCCCACAACCCTGTAGTCACTGCCTGGCAGTGTCGATGGGGAACCTGTGAGCCTCAAGTAGCGGTGCCTCGACTTGGAGACCTAGCTGGCTTGGGGCAGCCAAAATCAACAGCCTTTAGCTCTGCGGAAATTGCAAGAATCCAGTTGCCAGAAGTAGGATTTAATAGCAGGTGTTGGGCACCCTCAAGTAGGACTACCCCCACTTGGACCCAAAACCTATGCCACTAAAGCAATAAGGCCACACCAAGTAGGGTTACCTCCTGCGTGGAACCCAACCGCTTAAGACAGCAGAGGCCCACAACCCTCTGGTCACTGCCTGGCAGTGTCGATGGGCAACCTGTGGCCTTCAAGTAGCGTCACCTCTACTTGGAAACCCAGCCTCCTGGAGGGAAGTCAGACCCAACAACCTCCAATTCTGCTGAATTTGCCCAAAAAAAAACAAGTGCCCAGAAGTAGGATCACCCCTACTTGGTAGCTGAAATTCGCTTAAAAATCCGAGCCAGATTCATGGCAAGTGCTGAGCACCAAAACGTAGGATCGCCCCCACTTGGACCCCAAAACTATGTCACGAAAGCAAGTGCGGCCACACCAAGTAGGATGACCTCCTGCTTGAAACCCAACCTGCTTAAGACAGCGGAGGCCCACAGCCCTGTGGTCACTCCCTGGCAGTGCCAGTGGGCAACCTGTAATCCCCAAGTAGCGTTACCTCTACTTGGAAGCCCAGCTTGCTTGGGTCAGTTAAAACCAACAGCCTCCAGCTCTGCTGAAAATGCAAAAAAAAAAGAAAGCAAGTTGCCCAGAAGTAGGATCACCCCTACTTGGAAGCTGAAATTTGCTTAAAATTTCAAGCCATGTTCATGGCAGGTGTTGGGCGCTCTCAAGTAGGACCACCCCCAACTTGGACCCAAAACCTATGCCACTAAAGCAATAAGGCCACACCAAGTAGGGTTACCTCCTGCGTGGAACCCAACCTGCTTAAGACAGCAGAGGCCCACAACCCTCTGGTCACTGCCTGGCAGTGTCGATCGGCAACCTGTGGCCTTCAAGTAGCGTCACCTCTACTTGGAAACCCAGCCTCCTGGAGGGAAGTCAGA